CGATCGGAGAAAAACTCATTAGTCAAGAATAGAAGAACTCACTGCAGCCAGGAAGGACAGGCGCGCCGGGGAACCCAAGCAATTGGAAGAATTGTGATGCCTCGAGCAGAAAGCTGAGCCGGCGAGGAAGCAAAGCCCGAGTAAATTATTATGGTTCCTCTTCTGGTCGCCCCGGGCGCACCGCGCTTGGCTCGGCTGGCGGCTACGTGGACACCTCAGGCAGCCATATACTGCCTGAGGCACACGTTCGAGACTCGCATCGAACCCGGCAAGTAATCCAGCGTTCATCCACAGCCATCGCCAAACCATCATCTTCTTCCCTTGCCCCCCTTTGGTGCCTTACCCTCGAACACACTTTTCAAAATTATCTATCTATATTTCTACATGAACATTTTTGGAATCATAGGCCTTTTCTAATGTCGGAACGGTCGCCCCGTCCGTCCAGCTCCCACCTGGAGCCCCCGAGGAAAAGCGTGGAGTTGGAAGACTCCGGGGCTCAAGAATCCGGTAGGCTTTCCTACATGCAACCAGAACAACCACGGCATCCCGGGTGCCAATTGAGTTGAATTGCTAACAATTCGGCGTTGAACAGTAACTTCGAACAGCGACGACGAACATTTCTCCGATGCCAGCGAGGGCCACGAACCGTCTGCTTCACACCCGGCGTCCGGTCGCACATCCCCTGTGCCGTTGACTCGCGTTGAGAAAGTCGATGAAAATCCTTCACACGGCGAAATTCCCGGAACCTCCGCATTTGAAATCAGGGAACAGGATGCCATTCCCGATGAGATTGAGGTGATACCAGAAGGGTCACGCAGCAGAAGTTCTTCGACTGCGGGGCATTTACCTCGACCTTCAACCCCGGGGGGTTCCCCCGTGCCCCGGACCGTGGTCGAGAAGGTCGACGTGGACCAGCCAAGTCATGGGGATATCCCTGGCACTGCGGCATACGAACAGCGGAAAGCAGATGCGGTACCTGATGTTGTGGTGGCAGCATCGGATGCTGAAAGCAGGCCACCGTCTAGCCCGGATTCGAATCAAGAGACGCCAACTGATGCCAATGCGAGCGGCATGGTCGTCCCCGAAACGGTCCTTTCGAAAGTCGACTCTCTTCCAAGCGAGGAATCAACCTCAGCTCCACATGCTCATCAGAGACGACCGAGTGATGCCCTTCCAGACGTCACAGAAGTCGTTGCAGATGCTCCAGGTACGTCTGCCTATGGTGCGTTGACACAGTCGATGTGTAGACGCAATTGACCAATGTCTCCCTCCAGATCCGGGATCCTCGCCGGAACCTCAAAATGACCACCAACGAGACGGCAGCCAAGAACAACCCGTCACGGATCACGGTGATCAATTGACTGAGGACCAGCCGGCTGCAGATGACTTCGATGATTTTGCGGAAGAACAAGACATGGGGGAAGATGATGACTTTGGGGATTTCGATGATGGTTTCCAGGAGCCTAGTGCGGAGGTCACTGAAGATGAATTTATTGAGCAAAACGAAATAAAACCTTCACAGCCTCCTACACCACCTTCCGTTGTAAGTGTTTCCTTCAGCAGGCAATTTCTCTGCGGCCGTCTGGTTTTTCTCAAAGAGGTACAATGCTAACAAGGTTCTACCTCTGCAGCCGCCTCTTTTGGATTTTGATGTTTTTCAATCCCTGTCTGATCTTAACGCCGCTCTCAACGATCCTCTCGATCGCCTCTTCCCGGCCTCGAAAGAAGTCCCAACTCTACCCCCGGTAGAGCCAATCCAAAGCTCCTCTGCCATCTTCAACTCCGAACGCTCTCTATCACTGTGGTCACAACTCGTTGCACCCCCGCCACTCCAACCTCAAAACTGGGTGAAATCCCGAATCCGCCGGCTCTTCCTCGTATCGCTCGGCGTACCTGTTGATCTCGACGAGATCCTCCCGGCGTCTAAACAGAAAAAACTTGTGCTTCCGTCTATCAACATCGGCTCTGACACCGGCGGATCCACCACGCACTCACGCTCTCAAAGCCAGAACCGAAAGGACGGCACCTTAAGCAGCACTGCTAGCCCACGGACCTCCACACAGGCAAGCCGACAAAGGAACTCACGGCGGCGCGAGCCTACACCCCCGCCAGAATTAGATCTCCCAGCGGTCCATCGACTCTGTACTACGACGGAAGCCGCGCTGGATGGTCTCACAGACGGCGAATTACAAGGCCACGTCAAAGAGCTCGAGTACGTCACACTCCGCGCCAGTTCCGTCCTTGAATACTGGCTTAAACGACTCGATGGTCTCGTGAGTGAAAAAGAAGCCTTTGAGGGGGTGATTGAGAACCTCGTCAGTCATGCCCGCCGTGTGAGAAAATAATGTACATCCCTAATGCGTTTCATTTGTTTTGCTTTGTTTTTTTGTTTTTTTTTTGTCTACAAAATTCCCCCTCTACCTCGATCTATGTTGGTTTCTTGTTGGATCTGTGATCCCCCTTTTTTGTGTGTTTTTTCTAATATCCACTTTGTTTCTTTGTTTTTTCCCTCTGTTGTCAAGCGAAGTCTGGACCTCGCGTCATGCATTTGTCTTTTTTTCCTTTTTTTTACCCCTTGCATCCTGGATCCATGACCCTCACTCCATCACATTTGAATGAAAAGCCATAATTATTTGATTAGATAGACTTAGCTAGCAACGTCGATGTTGTATAATACACGCGAATCATCATTTCGATAGCAGAGAACTATTAAAGTTAAGTAAAGGGCTGCAGTATGAGTGCATGTCGTGGAAGATTCGAGTGCAGGTGCAAGTACGGAGTACTTACGTGATAATATATCATTGACGAACGCTTATCAATTGGTTATATTATTCCGTACTCAGGCAACATGGATTCTAGATTCAGAAACATTTACTCTAGATATATAAATCTGGAGCTTACCGAGTCTGTAGGTAATTCTATAGGCAATTCTTTCAATTTGCCCGATACAGGTATACTGAGTAGTCTCATCTCCTTTCTAGTAAATTGGTTCATTTGACTAGTTAGTTAGTTAACCCTAAGTTTAGGTAATCCGTCTTTGACATCCTACCTTACCACAGTACCATAAGTTCAATAACAATCCTTGTAATAGATATCAGAATGCCATTCTATCGCACTTCTCCTTTATTTCTATATCTCCACACGGAGTAGATAAGATGGGCGCACGTCTTATCCCATAAACGCCTCTCTCATCCTCATACACATCTATCGATGTATGTAAATACTCCGTAAAGGTCGCAACACTTTCTAATACCTATCTTCCCCCCCTAATCCCTTATTTTTTTTTTCTCTTCTCTCAATCGTATTATTATCCCCTTTCCATAGATAGTCAATAGGTAATCCCGGGATTATCCCCTCTCGTAATATAATCTTATAACTCAATACCAGCAGCATAACCTAGTGGTAGCAACAAAATCATCCGTCCAAATAGCACCATCTAGCCAACTCCCGAGAATAATAAAATCCAAGTATCTTTTGTGTGTGTGTGTGTGTGTGTGTGTGTGTGTGTAATATTAATAATTTCGTAACCAAGGACACCGTGAAACATGCCACTGTAGACATAGAATGCATTTGAAGGCGAGGGGGTCAGCTGGATTATGGTCAGTTGGGTTGTATGTATATATATCTACGAAGCCAGACGACTGTCATTGTCGAGTAGATAGATACCTGGCCAGTCTGGGTTATTATTGGAGTCTGGGTGGGGGAGGGAGTGAGAAGGAACAGCGGGGGATGAGGAGGAGGTAGTATGCTAGGCAGATAGGTATCGTTAGCACGATTTAAGTGCTGCTCAAGTGCACCATCAAATATCCGACCTAACATACGGGGGCCTTAGGTGTGTTTTGTTTCTCCGAAAATGCCGTTTTCTTTGGGGATGCCGTCTAACATGACCTTTTCTTGTGGCTTAGATCTATTACCACATTATAGGCATGTGCTATTAGCACATCTGTTGCAGTAGTTTTGTCATGGGAGGCGATGCTCACTGCCCCGTTTCAGCACTTATAGAGCCTGGAACTTCAGGCATGATGAACGAAGTGAATCGGAAGAAGGTCGTTAGAGGAACTAGGTCGGATGAGCGCAGGGCGTCGCTTGAATGGAGTGGTTGATCGTGTGATGGCAGTGTGAAAGACGTTGATGAAAACGAAAGCGAAAAGTAAAGAGTTGACTCATTGTATAGGCATGTCGGATTGTTCCGGTATTCCTGCTATGATAGAGCTTCTACGTCATTATACGGATATTCAGTCCGTGTACCCTTCCTTCTATACCAACTCTAACGAACACTGCCGAAGATAGTTGATTTAGACAGTAGACTTGTCCTTCACCTGTATGCTGACGTTGTTTGCGTGGTGAATATTATTTTGAGGAGCGCTTATGCACTCGTAGGAGATCAACACCCCTGGCCAGTAATTAGTTTTCGACTTTCCCCCGACCAGGTGTGTAACTGGTCATCAAAGAGTCATGATCCGGCCATGACGAGACTTCCAGATCTGTAGGACCATCAGCGATGCGGAAGGGTGGACTCCGCCATAAAACCTGGTGAAGTGAGAAAGATATGTTATGATGAATATACCGGCAGGCTAACATATGCTAGAAAATTTTGGAAGTGAAGGAAAGAAAGGTAATCTCCGCAATAAATACAAGTCTGGTACCCGAGAGTCGAATTCTTACTCTTGTATCCGAAATCGGACTGGAAAACCAACAGACAAGAAAGCATCAATGACAAAAATAGAATAAACGATCCGTGCAGATGGGGTATCTCGTAAACAAGGAGCCGAAAGCGCCTGAGCTGATGAGCAGGAATGAGAAGTTAAGAACAAAACAATAAACAAAGATAGTGACAACAAGACAAGCCGAGCCATCCACCTGGCCATCATGCATGATGCAAAATTTTTTTTTCACAAAACATTTCATGTCACACACCAAACGCCAAATTAATGGTTTTCTCGTCGGGGTGCTGTAGACCAGATTGGTTCGTCAAGGTCATTGTCATCGACTAGGAAATGCTAATCCAAGGCGATGACTTCGGTGGGTTGTGGGCAAGCCGGCTGGGCACTGGTGTCGCCATTCGTAATGAACGACGGTCTCCGCTCAACCTTGGGTTTCTGGGAGGCCGGAGATTCTGGGCTGCTGGAGCCGTTGAGCTTTCGCTTCGAGGCGGTTCGGTCAGGACCACTCCGGTCTGAAGCCTCCGTTTCGGCCCTGACTTGCCACGAGCCGTCGTTTTTGACCTGGATGGCTCGGGCGGTTTCGAGTCGATTGGCGCGCGCCAACTCCTCGTGGACTTCGACAAGGAAGCCGTCGATGACAAGACTTTGTGGCCGGGCGTCCTGGTGGCAGATGGGACATTTCCAGTCCTCCTTCATCGGCGCGTTCCCCGATTTGGACGCTCGAGTCAAGATCCAGGTGTCGTGGTCAAAGCACTCCTGATGTCCGCAAAAGCGTCCGCGCACGGGAGTGTTGAAAACCCTGGCCATGAAGGGATCTACGAGGTCGATCGTGAGATTGTCGCTGACGATGCTCACTTCGTCATCCTGCTGCTGGCCGGGGGAGAGGCGGGTTCGGATCTGCTCGCGGGACTCCGCAGCGGCTAGCGGCTGTGCGAGCTCCTTCGCTCTGGAGAGGCTGACGATGTCTAGCACCTCGACAGCCATGGCGTACGTCAAGTCTCGGGTTTCGGCGGCATTGCGAATAAAATGTACGGCCACAGTGTTTACACCCTCGCGGAGGTAATGGCTAATGTCCAAGGGGAGATCTTTGCCGTTATGAATCCGTCGGCGCACGTAAGCCTCCACGTCGTTGATGAACACATAGATCACGCCGGGCCAGATCGAGTCGGCGGTGCACCACGCCTGTTCGCTGACCTCGGAGGTCGCCGGATCTGCGCGGATGCATCGTAGCCGGTGGATCTGGGAGCCATCCTTGTAGGCACGCACCGCGCGCTGGCCCAACGAGGGAAGTTGGGAGGCTGGTACGCGATCAAGATCGGACCGCGACAATTCAAATTGCCAGGTATATGCGCACTCCTCGGTGCCCAGCGGCACGGGCTTCACGGCGAACCCGCTGAGGTACTGAAACAACCCGGCCTCTTGGTCGTGTTGCGGGGCCTGCACCTCATTCACGGGGCCTCGGAGGTGGGCTTGGTGAAGCGCGTCACGGAGCGGATGGGGTCGAGAAGTGGTCGACGGTTTGTGTCCGGGCGGGGGGAGCAATGGTTGGGCCACAGGACCAGGAGCAAAACGGTAAGAGGGATACGACTGGGGCTGAGACTGCGACTGAATCTGAGGATGAATTGAAGGATGGGTAGGACGAACAGGAAGAGAAGGCTGTTGCAGACTGACAAGAGCTCGGGGACCACCTGGCGACGGCACTCCATTGGGCCACACCCCCGTTGGGATCTGCGGTTGGGCGGGGATCGGGACAGGGCGCTGTGTAGGGGACGATGCCTGGCGCGGAGAGAAGGATTGAACCAGCTGAGACGGGAACACCATTGGCTGGAAGGGTAGCCCCGTTTGTGGTGCAACGCCGCCGGGCGCAGATCCGGGTACCGGAGTCGAGATGGGAGGGGGTTGCTGTTGTACGCCGTATGCTCGGCGCGGGCGTCCGCGGCGAGGGGCCTGAGCGGGCACCGGGGGCGCATTCGGGGGACCTGTCGCCATCCGCGGCGACGCAACCACCGGTTGACCCCTCCCGGGCATTTGCGGGGATTGGGAGGGTTGAGGGCTTGGGATGCCGGTCGGTCGCATCATGGCAAACATCGTCGTGTTAACAGTCAGTCCCTGGGCGGCTGGATTGGGCGATTGCACGGTTTGCTGGCCCGTTTGCTGCTGCTGCGGTGGGGGTTGCGGCCCTAGACCTGCAGGGCTATTATTTGAGACGAGAATTGACTGATACAACCGTATGATGTCGGCGTTTTCCTGTCGAATCTGAGTCCTGGATACGGAGTTGATGTGGCGCCGCTGGAAGTTCTGCAGATCTTGTTTCCAGACTCTCTTGACCGTGGCTTCATCAAAGCCATGGGATCCTGGCCGCTGCAGCTGTCGACAGGTCGACAAGAAGATGGTGTAAGCCAGGGAGGACGAAGTGATGGCGAAGCCCTCCATCAGCTCCGCCGCGAAGGGAGGGAATCCTCGGGCGAAGACATGTGCGACGTAGGACCTCCACTGTTCCGCAAACCGCCCGAGACACACCGCGGCCTTCCGCACGGCCTGATGGTAGACGGGCGTTTGAACCAAGACCTCGATCGGACCTGGGAAGTGAGCCGACCAGCGCAGAAAATCGGGCGACAACGGGTTGTTCGCCACCATCACCTTCTCAATGACCGCTAGGCCCCGCGCCTGCTGCTCCGTGAAGCACGGCAACTTGAAGAACTCGGTCCGAGAAAAGCTGTAGAGACAATAAACCTGGTGGATGGCAAGATACAAGCAGTCCTGGTGGACGCAGGCTTTGGTCAGGAGCTGTAAGCGCGCGGATTCAATCGTTTGGACATGGTATCCGGTTCGCTCCAAGTAAGCCATGTAGTTAGTCAGGTTGCGCACTGAGTGCTCGAAGAACGCGCCGTCAATGGTGGGAATAAATGCAGACGACCGCCGCGCATTCGACGGGCGTTCTGGCTGAGGCTGGTGTTGGGATGGTTGAACTTCATCTTGTTGCGACTGGAGCGCGGCGCTGGCCGGGACCTGCGGATGCGAATGGCTTGTCTGCACGGTCTGGGGATGAGGCATCTGCTGCTGCGGGTTTCCCTGGGAATCGATTTGCATTTCCACATGATTCAACGGACTCCGGCCAGAATCGCCCGCATCTCCCTCACTCGTTCTTGTGGGCGGCGGAGTCGGAACCCCCGTGTTCACCTGAAAGGGCGGTCCCGACGGGAGGAACGGAGACTGGACACCGGTCGGGCTGTCAGGAGGTCGAGCCGACGACACCTGCAGATTTGACAGCGACAACGAAGCCGTCGGCGAGGGTTGCGATGGCTGCGTGGGGGGCGGAGGAAGAGTGGTGTCGATCGACACGGTCACGGGCGGCGGCGGAGGGTCAGGAGCTGTGGGAGCAGGCGGTTGAGGTTGAGGATGACTCGATGGACACGACGGCGGAGAAGGGACCGCGGCGACGGGGGACACCGCGATCGACTGAGATTGAGGCTGTGGTAGAGATTGCGGTGGATGCGGTTGTGGGGGAGGCTGGGGAGGGGAGGCGACGGCGTCATTCTGCTGGCTCCGGCACGTTGACGGGGACGACGCGGGAAGCACGAGGGCAGGAGTTGGCATGCCGGGATGCGGAGGGAGCTGGGAAGACGCCGTCGTCGCCGAGGTCGTCGTCGTTGTAGCAGTAGTTGAAGTCGAAGTGGAGGAGGCGGAGGAAGGAATGGCAGCGGCTGGACGCGAAATGGAAGGATTCTCCATCCACGATCTCCGCACGCCGCCTAGAAAAATGCTGGCGGTGGAATTCGACGATTGCAGATGGCCATGGAGAAGCGCAGGGAGTTGTTGGGGAGTCATGGTGAACACATTCTTATGGACATGAATGATCCGATAAATGGAATCGGTGAATCGGTATTGTAATTTGTAGAAAGAAAGAGTAGAAAGAAGAGAGAGAAAGAGAAAGGAAAGGAAAGAAAGGAAGAAATGAAGGCAACGGTGGGTACAGATAAGGAATGGACAAACGCAACAAAGAAAACCGTTCAAACGTTCCTGGAAGTTTGACGGGCGCGTATTTCGTCGTGTTGCGCCGAATTGGCTTTCTCTTCCCTGTCGTTTTTCTCTACTAGTTCGTGTCTCTTCCTTCCACTCTGTACTAGTTAGTTACGCTCTACCTTCTCTCTCTCCTTCTCTCTTGGCTTTTCGACCAGTCCAGAAGTCCGGCGGCCACCCCGGCGCTTATCCATGCAGCCAATTTCCGGTCTAACAGAATCGAGGAGAGAGAAGTAGCTGTATAACTACAGTAATGCCAGAGAGAATAATACTAACGATGTCATCACCAGGTTCGATGATGCGACGAGACAAAAGGATCATTAGGCTGATGACTGGACCCGTTCCGTCTTACCGTTAGATCTGAACTTAGTCTTCCCTACGGAGTTATCAACCCTCTACTAGACCTTGGGAAACGAAAGAAAAAAGAAAAGAAAAAGGGAAAAAAAAGAGAAAAGATCTGTCCAGTGACGGAGATCCACCGCAAACGATCAATCTATTTCTCGAAGCCGCGATCAGTGGATGGAATGTTGATCGGCAGACAGGCACCAAGGGATATCCCTGGACTTTCTGGATACACCTGAGGATCCTGAGTCGACTGATAGACTGGTATAGAGTATGAGTATACTCTATAGTCTATAGTCTATACAGTCTTAAGGAGATAGGATGGATCTTCGAGAACCAACCGGAGGAACGGAGGGCAGTTCCTGACAGAAGAGAGTGAAGTGGCATACTCCGTAGACACCCAACATCCATTCGGAGCGACAGACCGACCGGCTCTGCTGTCACGGTGAGGCGTCGTATAAGAATTGGGTCATCATCCGCTCATGTCGGCCGCTCCTTTGAAACTATATTTATCATCGCTCCCTCTCTCGGTCCCTCTCTTTCTCTGTAGTCCTAGTCTCTACTCTCTCTCTCTCTCTCTCTCTCTCCCCCCCCCCCTCGATTCTCTCCTCTCTCGAACCGCTCCGTAAGCGCTGTCCCCCGGGCGATCGACACGGCGGTCGTGAATGCGATTCTGTCGACTTCTTTTTATAGCGGCCGATCCTCGACCCTTATTCCAATCTGTTCGCTGCTCTCACAGATTCTTATATCATCGCCCGTTCCTGCCTTTCTCTGGATCATCCCGAACTTTGCTTCCTCTTGGCCCCGCCGGTCTTTTTTTTTTTTACTTTTTTACTTTTTTTTTTCAATTTTTTCTTCTCTCTTCCTTCAGTGTTTTTCTTTTTCCCCTCTCTGCCAGTTTCTCACTCTCTTCCATTCTCTTCCTCCCTTTTCCCTTTTCCCTTCAATCTGCTCATCTTCTCCCTCCTCCCACCGTCCTCTAGTCCGTACTCCCTCCCCTGCGAACTCAACAAGTCCATCCGGCAATCTCCAACTCTCCTTCGATCCAACAAACCCGCCGAGGGCTGCGGCCCCGATGTTCTGCGCAATTGCCCCGTCATCACTGCGCCCTCTGACAGTCCCCACTCTGCATCTTTAACTCGCTTCTGACAATGGCTTTGACCTCGCCCCCCCGCGGCGTCCATCCCGGTGATCTTCTGCTCGTCGTTCGTAAGTCGTCCCTTCTTCAACGGTCGTAATCCACCCAACCCGTTCTTATCATTCTCGATTTTTCTTTCTACTTTTCTCTTCAATCCTTCCATCCATTTCCTTCTTCCCTGGAGCTTTGAACTGACCGTCTAGATGATTTCGATGCGCGGGGCTCGGATGAACTCACCTTGCGACGTGGTGAGAAAATCGAACTGGTGGAATTGGACGACGGATTCGGAGATGGATGGTATCTAGGGAAGGAATTGAAAGATGGGACCGTCGGTCTCTTTCCGGGAGGTACGAATCTCTGCCTGCCCCTTGACCCAGGTTGAACGCCGCTAAAATGCAAGCTCCCTCCCCCAACCAGTCTACACCACCACCGCCCCCAAGATTCCCACTCGCCCGCAGAAGGATACGCCGGAGACCGACGACCCCGCCCGACTGGAGAGCGAAAAGGACAAATCGGATCATCTGACACCAAATGCGACCGCTGCGTTGAGCTCTCCCAAAAGCGGCGAATCCACCCCTCACGTTTCTCGACACGCCAGCTTGTCCGACATGCGCTCGTCCGACCAGGACGGCGAGTCGGCCGCCCCTAGCTCGAACCCCTCGCCGTCCCAACCGCAGCGGTCTAGCTCCTCCCCGCTCCCTTCGTCCAAACTCGCCCTGGACCTTCACCACTCTCTGCGTCAATCAATTGACGGTCATCTCAACGGCCAAACCAAAGACAGCCCCGTCATGAACGAGACGCTCAGCGTGATCGATGAGCACATCACCGATCTCAGCACCCCCCGCCACAGCATGGCCATCACGCAAGAACCGAAGTCGATCAATGATTCGGCCAGCGAGTACAGCAGCACCTTGGACCACCGCATGTCCTACATCAATGGCCAGGAGACCGACGAGGAGGAAGAAGGTCACCCGACGGAGGCCGAGGTGCGCCACTGGAGCCAGTCCTATACGGCCAAACACCTGCGCGATATAGGCGTCGACGCCAGGCACTGTGACATTTTCGAGGAGCAGGAGATCACCGGCGACGTGCTCCTAGACATGAACCAGGATTTCCTCTTCATGAAGGAATTTGATTTCGGCGTCATGGGCCGGCGGTTGAAGACTTGGCACAAGATCAAAGCCTTCCAGGAGGAGGTCAAGGGAACGAGCCTGACGCAATCTCGGAAGACCTCGCGCGGATCCGGCTCTGGCTTCGCGACCCCCGAGGAGCGAACCCTCAGTCGTGCAGGCCACCCGGCCCCCTTCCTGCCCCGGATTCCCAACTTGCGAGGCTCGGCCGGGTCCGCGCAGCAGCACCCGCGACTGGTCAGCAGCAGCAACATGCCCAGCAACGCCAGCTCTCCCTTGACGCCGCAAACCCCCGGCACCTGGATGGACCATTCTCGCCGGCCCTCGGCGGCGTCGATTCGCGAGATTAACCACTCGCGACGACATTCCTCGATCGACGCCACGAATCGGCTCTCGAGCGCCGGCGACTCTCCACCTCAGCCGGGCCATCAGGGCAAGGGCTCCTTTGACCGTGCCTGGACCATGTCCAGCGGTTCTCAGCGGCGCCCCGGCACGGCCGCGACCGCGACGAACGATCCCATTCTCCCGCAGCACGTCTTTCGCGGCCCCGAATCGAACGGTTCGGATTCGGCCGTCGCCGTCTCGGACGATCTGGATCGAGGCTACTTCTCCGGACCCGAGGGGGATCCGCGAAGGACCAAGCGGCTGCAAAAGCGAACCTCCGTCCGGAGTGGGAGCTTCAACTCCGGACCCACGAGTCTGGCCGACCTGAACGTCAAGAAGCGCCACTCGCGCATTGGCAGTGCCGAATCCATTCGGGATGCCAACCCGCGGGCGGCGGCCACGAAGCCGGTCGCTACCACGCCCCCGAAGAGCCGCATTCGGAGCCTAAGCCAACGCTTCTCGGAACGCCCGAGCCAGCAGGCATCCCAGGTCGCCGGGGAGGAGAAGCCCGCTACAAACTCGGGCGGCTTCTTCGCCTCGTTCGCCCCGCTGGTCAACCGGCATGATTCCGACCCCGTTCCTCGATCGAGTCCGGTGCCCCTGCAGCAACAGATTAAGAACGCGGGGCGCAAGTTCCCGCGGGCCGTCGGTCTGCGCGCCATGTCGGACGTGGTTGGCAAAGGTATCGACACGTCCGTTCCTCCTGCCTCGCCCGTTCGAGACGCCGATCCGTCCTCCGCGCGCACGGGGTCCACCACGCCGTCCACCACCAAGAGTTCGGAGCGCCACAGCACCGATGGGTCGAACAAGGCCGCCGAGGGAAGCATCTCGCTGCCGCGCACGCGCACCGTGAAGGGCGGCGTTAAGTCGAAGAAGGACACGAGTGCATACACGCGAGGTCTGGAGAAGAAGACCCCACAGGAGCAAATGCAGGGGTGCGAGTTCTCCGGTTGGATGAAGAAGCGTTCGTCCAACCTCATGACCACGTGGAAACCGCGGCTCTTTGTCTTGCGCGGCCGCCGGCTGTCCTACTACTACTCGGAGAATGACACGGAGGAACGCGGACTGATCGATATCACGGCCCACCGCGTGCTCCGCGCGGATAATGACCCTATTGTCGCACTGCATGCGACCATCACCGGGGCTACGGCTTCGCCCACCTCGCCGGCCCCTTCTGCGGCCGGCGACCTCACATCATCTGACAAGGCATCCGGGTCCGAATCTTCCCTGCGCGGTCCCAAGAATGGTGGGGATGGGCCGTTCTTCTTCAAACTGACCCCGCCCAAAACGGGCACCTCGCGGACGGTCCAATTCACCAAGCCCGCGATCCATTACTTCCAGGTGGACAGCGCTAACGAAGGCCGCTTGTGGATGGCAGCGTTAATGAAAGCGACCATCGAGCGGGACATGGAGATCCCCGTGGAAACCACCAACAAGCAGCGCACCATTAGTCTGAAGGAAGCTCGGTTGATGAACCAACGACCCCCAGAGTTGGGGCCTTCTAATCAAGCGGGCGAGGAGAAAGCCGAGCCACTCAGTCCGGCTGATGAAGGGAGTGAGACCGCAGCGAACGGACTGGGTCCCGACGAAGCTTCGCAGCCTAATGGCGATGACGCGGAGAAGAGATCCTCGAATCCTCTGGGTGGTCTCGACACCGGACCGTCTTCTCTGCTTCCCGAATCTGTTACCAAACCTGAATAAAGATTCGCCCATGGAGTGAATCGCTTTGGCTTCCAGCTTTCTCTTCTTTTCCTTGTTTTCAATTTATCATCGCTCATTTCCTTGGCCGCTACTCCCCCTTGTTCGGCGTTTTATGTGATATACCCCCCGTTCGGAACTGTTTGTTATTATCTCTTTTGTTGTTTGTTTTATGTTACGTCTGTTTGGCATGTGCGGTAGGAGGGCATTTGGAGGAGCGTGTGGTCAGAGAGTGCGTGTGAGGAGATGCGGATGAATTGAAGTGGATCTTATAAGCATGAGCGGTTCTTCAACTCGCATGGTTTTCTCTGGAATCTGAATAACTAGTAAGGGTAGCGCGTAATAATAAGAGAGCCAATTCGCTTTAGGACCACGCAGCTCTAGAATCTGTAGAGTTGATCGCCGTCCCGTGATCGTGGGCCGAGAACTTCAACTTTTTCCCCTTTTCCCGTCCTCTCCTTCATCGCTGCACCCTGCAAGATGGGAGTCAATTCCCACTCTCAATAATCCTATATACCTACTCATTGGATTCGGGGACAACTTAAATGCTGTCTTCCTCCGTCCGACCTCCATGTTCCTCCGCCCGTTTCTTTCCCGCGGGCTCTCCGGCCTCATACCGCTGGCGATAGCAGTCACCGTCTATCTCTACCTCTACCCGATATTCCACGGCTGCGCATTCCCTCTCCCTACGCCCAACAATGCCGGAATCCTGCCCAGCGGCTTCCTCTCAACCATTCGACAACACCTCTCCCCGCAAGCCGAGTTTGACTCCGCCAACCGGCCGGCCATCTTCCGACTCCTCGTTCTAGCCGACCCCCAACTGGAAGGCGACAGTTCCCTCCCCAAACCCGAAGACAAGCTCCTAGCGCGCATCAAAGCCTACCGGTCGTCCGTACAATCCGCGATCGAGGACGCGCCGGCCCCGTCACCTCTACACGGGGATGTCGTGCGCGCCGTTTTTGCCGCGCTCCGTTCTCTAGCCCTGGACGACGTGCCTCGCTCGTTGCGTGCCGCGCGCAAACGCCTCGACCTGCTCGGAAATGACTATTATTTAGCTCATATCTACCGGACCCTACATTGGTGGACGCGTCCAACCCATGTCACCGTGTTGGGCGACCTCATTGGCAGTCAGTGGGTGACGGACGAGGAATTCGACCGTCGCGGTCATCGATACTGGGAGAGGGTGTTTAAGGGCGGCGAGCGAGTGAGCGATGCCCTCACTGGTGTCGACACCACCAACACTGGGGACGGAAATGCGGTCGACCCCGCGGAGACCCTGCTGAACGCTACCGACTCGACGTGGACGCAGCGTATCATCAATATCGCAGGGAACCATGATATTGGGTATTCCGGGGATGCCAGCGAATCTCGAATCGAGCGGTTTGAGCGCGTGTTCGGGCCTGCGAACTGGGATATCCGATTTCGACATCCGGTGCAGCAGACGAAGGAGGAAGAGAGCCAGAGCCCTGACGCTCCTCTCACCCCAACCCTCCACCTAATCAACCTGAACACATTGACGCTCGACACGCCGGCGTTCTCCACAGACGTGCAATCCCGCAGCTACGAGTACATCAACGACCTCATCACCCACCGCACGTACCCTGTCGACGACCGCGCCACGTTCACGCTCTTGCTCACGCATCTCCCGCTACACAAGCGCAAGGGCATCTGCACCGACGAACCGCATTTCACCTTCCACGAGTCAGAAGATGAGAACGGGCCTGACGATGTCCCCCGCTTCTATGAGGGCGGGCTGCGCGAGCAGAACCATCTCAGCGAACATGTCAGCGCGAACGGCGTCCTCCAGGGTATTTTCGGGATGACGGGAGATGAAGACGCCTCTGGGGGTGGATTGGGTCGGAACGGTCTGATTCTGACCGGGCATGACCATACGGGCTGCGATGTGGTTCATTACGTTGATCGAACGGTTGAGGAAAAAGAACCGTCCACAGATGCGGATGAGACCTCGACAGATGACGATAACAATGACAATGACAATAACGAAACCCCAGCCTGGAAATGGAACGCTCGACGATACCACCGCTACAGCTCGTCGGACGCCCGCTCTGACTCTCCGTCTATTCGCGAAGTTACGCTGCGTTCCATGATGGGCGAATACGGCGGCAACGCGGGTCTCTTGTCGCTTTGGTTCGACGCTGATCCCGCTGTCGGGGAATGGAAATACGAAATCACCATGTGCATGGCTGGCGTGCAACATGTCTGGTGGGCGGTTCATGTGCTTGACTTGGTGGTGGTGATTCTGGTGGTCGTTTATCTGGCTATGGGAGCTGTTGGGTCGCGGAAGCCGCAGATCCAGACCCAGGTCCAGAAACAGAAACCTGCGAGTGCGGATGAGAAGAAGCAGGTTCAAGAGAAGGTGCAGGAGAAGACGAAGTCATGAATGTCAAGACGGGGTTGGCTGGTGTTCGATCCTATCTTGCGAGACTCTTGGGGGCGGAAAGGGTTTCTTATATATACTTACAAAAAAGACCTCGATGTCCATACGTACTTACATGCTATGTATAAAATAGACAATATGATAAACCATGATACGTCATTGCATTATTGACTAAAATATCAGCGTTCATCCTTTTTGAAAGCCATGGTAGTACACCATTGACTCCAGTCTCAACCTAATCTACACGTTATACGTAAGTAGTCTACAGTGGTACCCCGTAAAATGAGATGTCAAGCATGACCATCACACATCATCATTGCTTAAGGTATTAAGTTTAATTTGAAGGTCGGATTCGTTTCATTCCCCAGAGCAGCAGCTGGTATCGTTCTAAAATTTTCATTTTTTCAAACAACAAAAAAAAGGTTCTCCCTAGACGGCATTTTCATTTTCCTCTTGTTTACATAACGACACCGGAGTTGGAAGCGATACGCTATTGGGTTTTGAGTTAGTGGTTTGTTTCCGGAGGTAGAGTTGAGATGATGAGGGAGTCTTACAGGCCACAGCTCAGCAGCCTCCTTTCCAACAGGGCCAGTGATGGCGGAACCCTTCATTTCACCCTTGGCGTTGACGATCTAGATTTTCCGGATTAGTATTTGCTCTTTTCTTTTCTTTCCAGTTTCCTCCGTTCTGGCTCGGGTGGATAAGGGATACTCACAACACCAGCGTTGTCCTCGAAGTAGAGGTAGATACCGTCGGGGCGTCTCCAGGGCTTGCTCTGACGGACAACAACGGCGGGCATGACCTTCTTCCGGAGCTCGGGCTTTCCCTTCTTGACGGTAGCCATGACCATGTCACCGACACCCGCGGCGGGGAGACGGTTGAGACGGGCACCGATACCCTTCACCGAGATGATGTAAAGGTTACGGGCACCGGAGTTGTCGCAGCAGTTGAGCACGGCGCCGCTGTAAGAAGTTGTTAGTTATTTGGTTGAACAATAGGTCGGTGGATATATGTATGTGTAGAGTATGGGATTTGGGATGGATGGTTGTGTATATGTGATGCGCTAGTGTTCGGGATCGGAGCGAATTGTTGTAAAAGGTTTTTGGTGTTCTTTCGTGTCGTCGTAGTTTTGTTGTTGAGGGAAAAATATCGAGAATTGATTGCGATGAAGAAAATAAAATCAAACGTACCAAGGCAGACCGAGCGTCATCTTCAGCTTGTTGCCGGCAAATCCACGACTGTTTGCGAAAGAATATTAGCCTTGACATTCGAATTCTCCGGTTTGTTCCTCTGCAGCCTTGGATTGCCATGTCATGTCTGTCATGTCGAGTCGAGTCGAGTCAAGTCGAATCGAATTGAATTCGGTTCCCTTTGCTTTGGTTGCAACATCTTTGTACTTCAATGCATTCATTGATGCATTGAAATCAAAGTTTTCCACCTGTTTCCAAGCACCCATATAGCCATTCCATCATTTCCAGTCGTAAGCCCCCCATTTCATTCTCTTCGGTTCCCTCCTCTCCTCCATTCTGTATGTTGATTCCCTCACCACCGCTCTCCCATCATCGTCTTCTTCATCCATCAATTCGATTCGATTCGACTCGACCATGACATGGCGCAAAATCCTCAGGCGCAAACGTCAGATATCAGAAACAACTCACCCTCTGGAAGACATCTTGGCTAGGTATCACCTTAAGGGTGTCGGATACTGGGATTTGGCGAAGGGGGGCGAACGAAGGTCGAGATGGATCCGGGCGGACGTCGAGGGTTTGCTCGGGTTTCGACTTGCTTTTCGCTTAGTGTGCGTCGTGGGTAAAATCTTGGCGGTGTGCTTTTGATTGGTCCTCCGCCGTCCGCGCTGGCTTGCCCTAGGGCTAGCACTCTTTCGGAGAGATGAGTCAGCGGTGCTTATCTTATCGGTGGTTGCGATAAGATATCTTATTTTCTGTTGTACTCCGTAGCTGTAGGTAGTATACGGACTATACTCTCTGTTGTCGGTCAGATGGAGGTCGTGTGGACTGTAAATTGCAGATATCCCTCATGGCACTATCCTCGCATTGAATCGCTTTAATTCGTGTTCATGATATCTAGGTCGAGCACCCGGTAGGGTGGTCCACCGCTGGACTGTAGTCTGTACATACATACATCTTCGGAGCTTTGCCAAGGATCAATTAATGCACAGGATATGTGAGGCTGTAAGACAAAGTAAAATGAAATAAAATAAGACAGCAAGAAATGAATCCCCTACTAAGAACGACAAAAAGAAACTACTAAACGGAGCCAAGTCTTAACCATCAATTAAGCATGCCATCAATCCAAAAACACCATGTTGCCAGCCCGTTGCGCCAAGGAACCTGAATTATAAACGCCTCTGCAAGATGCCGAGACTTATTCCTCGCTCTTTGTAGGCTCTTCTGGTTGTGGTTTCGTGGTGGTATCCTTGCTGGCCTCCTTGGGCGCTTCCGGTTCCCCTTGGTTCGCACTGGGTTCTTCCTTGGCAGCCTCGGGCGTTTTCTCTTTCGTCTCAGCGGGCTCGGAGCCTTCGGTCTCCTTGGCTGAGGGCGCTGGCTCCGAATTCTCGGTGGTCTCCTTCGCAGGAGACCCAGCCTTACCAGGCGATGAAGGCTCCGTAGCGGGCTTTTCAGCAGCGGGTGTCTGTTCGACGGGCTTCTTCTCCTCGTCTTGAGCCTCGCTGGAAGCAGTAGCTGCTGCCGCTTGCTCCGTCTTCTCCGGCTCTGGCGCGGCCTCACTTGCATCTTCCATGGCGACATCTTCGTCCTGCGCCTTGGGGGTTGGTTGACGAGAGATGGGAGCGGATGCAGCGATTTGATCCTGATCATCAAGAACCATGTCGGGTTTCTCGGCAGCAGATTCTTCTTCGGCCTTCGATGGCGGTTCAGTTGCAGCGGACGGAGAGCCCGCGGCTTCTGTCACAGGTTCGGGTGCATCACCCATCTTCGCATCCGCGGTCGTGTCCATATCGTCGTCCGGAATCGAGGATGCGTCTTGAGGGGTTGCCATTCCACTTTCAAGTCCGGAATCGGTAGGATCGAGGTTGCGGTAATTAACCTGGTTTCTCCGCTTCAAAGCATTAGGCTGCCGTCGGATACCATGAGCCGCGTTCTCCTCCTCGTCCTCGCTCTCGCTGAGTTCGCCGTCCTTTTGGATGTATTGGTCAAAGCGCCGCTTGGTGTATCGCGTGTCTTTGTTTTCATCTTCGTCCAGGTCGTCAAGGACATCATCCGCCTCATCGTCCATGCCTTCCACCAAGGGATCCCGGGGTACATCGGTCATTTGTACAGAAGGCGCGTGTTGGCACCGCCTGAGGTTCTCGACGACTTGAGCGCGAATCTTGTCGAGATATTCTCTGGTATTGGCGTTATCCATGTTCGACGGGCGTACATCCAATTCGTAATCCGGTGCAAAGTACTAGGGTCATGTCAGCAACATAAAATGATAGTAAACCATTTCTGGCGCAGGAATATAGCCACTCACCTCGTAATAATCGTTATAGGGAAGCTCGGCGCCCAGGGAATCTCCCACAAGGATACCGGTCTCGAAAGCCCAGGTCCGTGCAACATTCCGCATCGTGTAGCCACCTCCTCCAAGAATCAAGGTAGGCAAGTTGAAGCTCTTGATGAAGTTGACACAGTTGGCATGGCCTCGCATACTCAGGTTGAAACATCCTAGGCGATCTCCAGAAAGACTGTCGCCACCACACTGGAGAACCACCGCTTCCGGACGGTACCATTCCATAACGCTTCTTATCACCGGTTCAAAGATGCTCTTGTACGAGATGTCGTCAATGCCATCACGGAGCGGGAAATTCACGGCATAGTTTTTGCCGTGTCCAACTCCGGTGTCGCGAAGTTCACCAGTTCCAGGGAAGTATTCTCCATATTTGTGGAAAGAGACGGTCATGACACGATCCGTAGTATAGAAGGCTTCTTCCACACCATCACCATGGTGGACATCGATGTCGACGTACAAGACTCGCTGCTTGAAACGTAGCAGCTCGAGAATACCCAAGACGATATCTTGAGGAGAAAGATCTAGTCAGCACGTGTCCAAAACATCGATCTTAACTGTAGACAGGATATTCATACCATTCACGTAGCAGAATCCACTAGCCTCGCTCTTTTTGGCGTGGTGGAGACCACCGGCCCAGTTAACGGCGATGTCGCATTTGTTGCGATTAAGCCGAGCCGCGCCTTCCATACTGCCACCCGCGCTAATACCACAGAATTCGAAGAGACCATCGAAGACGGGACAGTCATCACCGACATTATACTTGCTTTGCTCTTTCGCGAACGAGTCCATGTTATCCGGCGTAACCTTGGAAAGGAATTCGATGTAATCGTCGGTGTGGAACTGGGTCATCTCGTACTTCGAGGCGGGTTTCGCACGCTACAAAGATTGCTCATTAGTATGGCAGTTTCCCCAGAGATCAGCGGCAATCCAGGGTCCCCGTCACTCACGTAAATCTCCATTTTCTTGTAGAGACCATAGTTCATCACCAAGCTGTGCGTCAACCTTATGCGATGAGGCTTCATAGGGTGCCCGGAGACGTAGGCATAGTTGCCCACATCCGAATCGTAGAAGTAAGCAACTTTTTTGCCACGGTCCCCATTGGTACTGATAGGGTCCAAAGGAGGGAGAGTCGCCATTTTGGAGAGCAGCGTGTAAGAAAACACGAATTTGCCTCACTCAAAACCAGTCTTGATGTTAGAAATTCGATGGCACGGTGTTTTGTCGGCACAAGAGAGTGGATTTGGCAAATTCACAAAGGAACAAAGGATTCAGGAAATCGTCCCCAAATTCAGAAAGAACAATTCACTGATCTGAGGATGCCCACAGGTCACGAACGGTACAAGAATCCAAACCTAGATCAAAGGCGAATGGACCGCATTCCGGGAGAGGAGGGCGATGTTAAATGTAAGGATGGAAATGGAAGCGAAGGGGAAGGCCGAGAGAAAGGCGGGCGGAGAGACGCAGAGCTGCTCCCACCGCCTTCGTCAGGTGCCTTGAGAGCTCGATGGCGGCGCCTTCGCTTCCACCTATCGTTCGTCTCGTCATCGTCTTCCTTCCACTCAATCTCTGGCATCTACCTCAGATCACGTTCATCTAATTCCTCTTACTCGTCTTACATTCGAACCTTTCGAACCACAAACAGTTTTCCCTTCGGGTTCCGCTTAACTCTTTGACCGTTCTGGAGCTTCCGTGTGGGAAGTCATCTTTGGCCCGTTTCGCATCGTCTCTTTCATTTCATCCATATCTCATCATCAATCATGGATCGACTTAATCGCATGCTGCAGGCTGCCCAGGGTATGGGAATGGGGAGTGCAGCTCCCGGTGGCGTGAGTTCCCGCCTTACCTGACTTCTCACTACATGTATCTTTGTTGCAAGAAATGCCGGGAAGATAGATCAGCAATGATTCCTTGCCGGTCATCTTCTCAGTAAACCTACGGTATTTGAGAGACATGACGCTGACAATATGACATTTTAGGATACCCCCAACCTGATCGATAACTCTGAGACTGTTCACATCTCCTCGTTAGCTCTTCTAAAGATGTTGCGACATGGTCGGGCCGGTGTGCCCATGGAAGTCATGGGTCTGATGCTGGGAGAGTTTGTGGATGAATATACAGTCAGAGTTACCGATGTCTTTGCGATGCCTCAGAGTGGTACCGGTGTCAGTGTCGAGGCTGTGGACCCCGTCTTCCAGACTAAGATGATGGACATGCTTCGACAAACGGGACGGTAAGCTTGGGCTTTACCAATCCTGCCTTATTCCGTGCTAATATCTTTCAATCTTACAGACCAGAGACCGTTGTTGGCTGGTATCACTCTCACCCTGGTTTCGGCTGCTGGCTCTCGTCCGTCGATATCAACACCCAGCAGTCGTTCGAGCAGCTGACACCCCGTGCCGTCGCCGTCGTTGTCGATCCCATCCAGTCCGTCAAGGGTAAGGTCGTTATCGATGCTTTCCGTCTCATCCAACCCCAGACCGTCGTCATGGGCCAGGAGCCCCGGCAAACGACTTCGAACTTGGGTCACCTGAACAAGCCCTCGATCCAGGCTCTCATCCACGGATTGAACAGACACTATTACAGCATCGCCATCGCCTACCGCAAGACCGGACTAGAGGAGAACATGTTGATGAACCTGCACAAGCACGTTTGGACCGAGGCCCTGCAGATGAAGGATTTCCACGAGGAGGGCCAGCACAACGTTGACCGAATGAAGCAGCTCGTTCACCTCGCTGAAGGCTACGAGAAGCGGGTTAAGGAAGAGACGGAGCTCAGCAAGGATCAACTCAAGACGAGATACGTCGGAAAGGTCGACCCGAAGAAACGTACGTTGTCCCGTTGTCCCGTTTGCGCATGCATCTTATACTTTTCCGTTCAATTGCTAACTGCCCTCCTATAGACATCGAAGACGTCAGCCAGGAATTGATCGAGGACAACATCGTCGCCGTTTCGCGGCAGATGATTGACAAGGATGCCTCGGTAGCCCGCCAATCGAATGGAAAGGACTCCCAAAATGGCACTGGCATGGAGGTGGACGAGGATCTATAAATGACTCGAGTATGATGAAGAGGACGATTTGTTTACGTGTTTCTTAATATCAACGAATGAGGGTGGTTGAGAAATCTGTTCGCTAGTACTAGGGAGCATTAGACATGGAGATAATCTCCGTAAATGAATGATTCGATGTACCATTCTCCAGCGTCATATTAGTCCTATTCACTCCGATTTCTTTTGGTGGTGCTTATGAGCACGTTATCTATTTTTACTAGGCATAAGCACTATTCCGTTCTATTCTTCATTTTAAATCTAGATTCTACTCTAGATAAACTGGCATACATTTTTGGTAAGAGAGATCGCGGAAGCCTACCGTATAGAATGGACCGTTCTAGATATATATCTCCCAACAGCACCATCTAAGGAACAATCGATGTCGTATAAAACCCAATTCACATGTTCTATGTAGAGATCAACAGAAATGACGTGTAATCGCGATATATGTAAGCAATAAAAAAAAGGAAAAAGAAAAAGAAAAAGCTCATAGCCCGTAGACTCTATATAAAACTCTAGTATCTAGATAGGGAACCGAGTATAAGAAAAGCCACAAACTATACAGAAATCGTGATCATGTCTTGATGGTAAAGCATAACAAAGAAACAAAGCATTGTGGTCATGAGTTCAAAATCCGAAGTCTTCGTTGAGTGACAGGATTGTTCAAAGTCTTTTCATCGTAGTTGCGCTCGTAGATAGGGTTCCTCTTGAGTATCTCCTCGCCGTCATAGTCTGTCCACCCTCTAACGGGGCCCCAGACAATCTTCTTTGACGCCGATCTCGTCTCGTGAAGCAATCGCTGCATCAAATCCCCGCTCTTGCGCACAGATGGGTATGCATCGAACTCGACGTGAACCACGTTGGGTAGTCGTTTGAGGGACTGCTGCACAATCGCCCCGGCGAACTCGGTGTAAAAGCCCTCGGAAATTCGGAAACCCTCGAACACCGGATGCGACGGGTCGCATTCTACAAATATTTTGAACGTCTTGACGCGAGTCATATCCTCTAGGCCGAGATCGTCGTTAACCGTCCAGGTGTCAGGCGGCGCAGTCCAACTGGAGCCCAGGATCAATTCGACTGTCGCAATGGAGGGCAGGTACCGCTGCGAGACAGCTCTGATTGTTGGCAGCGTGGAATAGTCTTGAATATGGAATAGCCGAAAGATCTGACTGGAGTAAAAGAAGTCGGTAGCTTCGTTGTGCATACGGCGCGATGCCAGATACAGATTGATACGATCGGACATTGGCGACCGAGGAGGATTTTTCGACGAGGCGCCTACACTGCCATTTGCTCGCAGTGCTTTTCTGCGACGCGGTGTAAAGAGGACGAAGGAGTAGATTCGCAGCCGTATCTCTGAGGGAAGGTCGAAGAACCGAAACGGACCCTGAAATTGAAAGCGTCGAGCCTTGCGATTTTGTTTCACTTTCTTGGAGTCATCTTGATCAAGATGAACCTTCTCCAAGGCGTTGGAAAGACTGTCAGAAACCATGCTGGGTTTCATGTAGGGAGAAGTCTAGCGCAAAAATGAAGGAGAAAAAATAATACACGGCAAAATTCTATCAGAATATGTGTGAAAAAACCAAATTTCTTGCGTTCATCCCATTCTAACCGAACTCGTGAATTAACATGCTGATACAGATGCAATCAGGCAGTGACATCAAACCACCATTTAGCAGAAGATATGGATTTGTTTCCCATCAACGGGGCTGCAGTCGCACAAATTTATTCGCTGCAGCTCTTGGGGACAGGATATTGGTCTCCCCAGTTAATACAACCCAGCAAACATCGAAAGGTTTGCTGAGTCAAATTTACCGTCTGGGTGTTCAACTTTCATAATTGGAGAAAAAAAAGAAGAAGAAAGGAGAAGAAGAAAACGGCGGAAGGCGAAAGATTTTAAAAGGCGGGCGGGTCGGGAATGACGCACGGGGTTCTTCCGGGCCGCCGTAGCGCAGCAGCCGCAACTTTTCCGCTCGACGCCATCGATTGCTTCCTCGGACCTCGACAAGTCAGTCTGGAATTCCAGGACCCTCTTGACACCGTGTTTCTGTCCCATTGCCTTGTCCTCTAGAAGGCCAACTGCCTCTACTCCCCTTGATCGTCGCGCGGAGCATGAGTGCGCTGTTTCCTTAATCTATACATTTTTTGTCTATAATTTAATGCCCTTTCTTGTTCATCATGCTTAGCCGTGCAGTATTACCTCTAACGAGGCCCAATGTCCTCGCCTCCACACTCCGTGTTTCGGCGCTTCCTGTCTCCCATTCGCGATTCTATGCGAAGGTTGGCAAGCCTAAGGCTCCCTATAACATTCCCGATTCCGTGAAGCCTTCCAAACCCGAACAGCCGGCAAACTCTTCGCAACAAGAACCGTGGTCGGAGCCTGAAGCCAACACCGAATCTCAGCGATCGCAAGCTGTAAGCCACTGTCTCTACATATCTAACACATAGATAGTGTTAGGTCTAAGCTGATTGCCATTCGAATTAATCCAGCCCGAATCGGAGCCAACGCCTGCTGAGAAGGAAGCCGCCCAGAAACCACTCCCCGACCTTACGCAGGGAATTCCCTCCACCCTTGCTGCAGAAATCGAAGCTCGCTCCAAGGGCCGTGGACAGGCTTCCCTAAACCTCACCGAGGACCCCTCGCGCTCCGAAGAATACACAGACGATGGTCGCGACGGCGACATCCCCAAGAACGGCTACGAGTCTTCGCTCGATCGCCGAAGGGCCCGCATGGCCAACCTGATGTATGTCCTTTTCCTGATGGCCGGTGCTGGAGGAGGTGCCTACCTGGGACGGAACTGGGATACCGAAGAAGAGGAGAGAGCCCACCCAGAGACCCCTTCGGGCTGGGGCTTCGGACTCTGGTACAACCGCATCAAGGCCCGTTACGGCGACATCACAAGCTACTACAAGGATCCTGCATTCCCCAAGCTCCTTCCCGACGAGGATCCCATGATGCGCCAGCCTTACACTCTGGTTCTGAGTCTGGAGGACTTGCTTGTGCACAGCGAATGGAGCCGTGAGCATGGATGGCGAGTTGCCAAGCGACCTGGTGTCGACTATTTCCTCCGCTACCTCAACCAGTACTACGAGCTTGTCCTCTTCACCAGCGTGCCCAGCATGATGGCAGACCAGGTTCTGCGTAAGCTTGATCCCTACCGTATCATCCGTTGGCCTTTGTTCCGTGAAGCTACCCGGTACAAGGACGGCGAGTACATCAAGGTATGTGGTTCCGATACTCAAATGATGCGATCCTGATGACTAACGACGACGATTAAACAGGATCTTTCCTACCTGAACCGTGACTTGTCTAAGGTGATCCTGCTCGATACCAAGGAGGAGCACGCTCGTCTGCAGCCCGAAAACGCCATCGTTCTTGACAAGTGGCACGGTGACCCCAAGGATAAGACCTTGGTTGCCCTGATCCCCTTCCTCGAGTACCTTGCCGGTATGGGCGTCGAAGACGTCCGCCCCGTCATGAAATCCTTCGACGGCACCTCCATCCCAATCGAGTTTGCCAAGCGTGAGAAGGCCATGCGTGAGCGATTTGAGAAGGAACTCGCCGAGGAGCAGAAGAAGAAGCCTAAGGTCGGAATGGGTAACCTGGCCTCTGCCCTCGGACTGAAGTCCAACCGCACCCTTGACGGTGAGCAGTCTCCCTCCGAGGGTCTCGCCCAGGGTAAGATGCTTTGGGACCAGATCCGTGAGCGCGGCCAGAAAAACTACCAGATGATCGAGAGCGAGATCCGCGAGAACGGCGAGAAGTGGCTGGCCGAGATGGCCGCTGAGGAAGAGAAGGCCCGACAGGAGCAGATGGACGCAATGAAGGGCTCCTTCACTGGCATGTTCGGTGCCGGTGGTAAGAAGGAGTAAATTCGTTTTTGAAAGGATTTACGACGCTTATAGAACCCCCGCCTCCCTCTCCTCTTTTTCTTCCTATTCATCATCATGCGTCTTTGTTATCTTTTTTCCCAGTGGTGGGGTTACGATTAGAAGGGTTCTTTGGCTCTTGAGCATCATGGGTGACTGTAAAATAGCATTATTTGGTTCTTCGTCGGTTTTGTATAAATTGAAATATAGTTTAATGTCTGCAAATGGGCCGGTTGAATTTCTATTGTAAGTTGTTGATCAGTGTGTTTGCCGTGGTGTATTTAATGCATCATACCAGGAATTCCCTGAAGAATCAAACCAGTGAGCTGAATGTTGAATTGTAGAAGCAGTATTTACAATGGGTATATGTTCCAGCAAAGTCTCCCTTCCCTTAGCGCTAAATTTGCCAGTTCAGTTCTAAAAAGACGGTGGGCATATATGGATCACCCTAAGTTTACATCCTGAAAAACGGAAACATCCCAAATTCCCGTCATATCGAACGGGAACCCATCCATGGTGCCGAACGTCCCGGAGATAGACATCATGTCGTCAACAATATCGTTATTCGTCTGCGTCTCGGGCAGCGAGATCGCCGCCGGGTTGACCAGTCGGTTATCGGGCTGTCCGATGCCATTGAAGCTGGAGTCAGCAGGGCTGCCGTTCCCGGGGAGTCGGTTGAGGATGTGCTCGCAGTGGTCGAGACACATGTCGGCTACGTCCCAGTCTTCTTCCTCGCGGACACGGCGCAGGATCGTCCGCAGGGTTTCGACGTTCGCGAGACAGGAACGGGCGACTTCGCCGTCGGTGGTCTCGAGAGCGCTGCGGACAAGCAGGGTGGCTGTTGATGTGAGGTGGAAGGCGCTGTCTGTATATGGGATTAATTATTGAAGGATGTGGGGAGGGGAAGGTAGGCAAATGAGGACATACAAGGAAGCCAGAATTCTTTAAAGTTCTCCTTCCGGAGAGATGAGATGAATTGGACGATTTCTTCGGCCGACCTGCGACATTCGGTTTGGAAATAGCGACGGGCTTCGGGGTTTTCGGTCTCTGCGTTGTTGACCTCCTGTTGTCTCGTGTGTTAGATTTCGAGGCGGACTTTTAGAACCAAGTGAGAGATGAAACTTACGGTGACCTCGACCCGGCTGACGAGCATTTTGACAGCCAAAAAGCCCAGGTGCAAGCTACTCGTCCCGGATATGCGATCCTCCGACGGGTTCACGGGAATTCTCAACCAGTCAGGTAGAGAGTCTTCCCACAGATCGAGATCCGTTCGAATTTGCCGGATCTTCTTGGATGTTTCGCGGGGCTGGCGCTGTTGAAGGCCATAGACAAGGGGTAACAACTCCCCCAGGATTTCCGTCAATCGGCAGAGTGCAATGTGACAGTGGGCGGCTCGCACACGCTCGGTGGTGCGCCCAGCCTGCGGCAACAAGCCATCGATAGTGGGCAAAGGAACATCGTATTGATTCTTAGCAATTTGAGGAGGCACGCCGTGCCCAAAACTTCCCCTAATAGGATGCATTAGCAGATATGAAACAAGGATGGGTTGAATTAGCTTCACCAGCGATCATGAATTACAACACCCCACCAAAGGCGAATGCGATTGTTTTTCTCCCGCTCAGACATTTTCCAAAGACACGGATCACGGTTCAGCCCAAGACAATGCGCAAGCGAAATCATCCGACCGCAACTGATGGCATTACCGGTCATAGAGAATATCGGTCGCCCGGTCAAGTCAATAAGTGCTGCGGTGATGGTAGATAGCCCTGGAGCTGAGAATTCCTCGTGGAGGGCAGCCACGGTCATGTTGACTGCGTATCGAACATCCGGCTTGGGGTGACAGGCGAGTTTCGGAGTATGTTTCCAATAGACAAGTGACATGGAATAAACCTGACATAGCATAGAAGCCGGTGGTTCGCTTGGCGAATCTGAATTGTAGGCCTCCCAGAAGCTTTCCCCGTCAAATATGGGAAATGCTACGTTAAATCGGTCTAGAAATCTGGACGGTCATGTTAGTACGGTAAATAGCCGAGGGAAACCACGAGAGGCGTACAGTCGCACTAAGTCATGCCTGAAAGGCCCAAGAATCTGTTCAAGAATCTCCTTTTGATTCTCCCCCGGCGGGATTCCCCGTCGCATACCCTTCCTCCGTCTTGAGATGGTGGTGTAAAGGATCGGTTTTCTCGGGTCATTTGAATAGACATTATACGGATGATTTTTGGGTGTCTCGGATTGATTCGACGTCTCTGGAGGCATAAACTTCTCGATAACCTGGGCGTCATCGGCCACGACTGGACCGACAATCTGAACGGATTCGTTATGCGGGTCCTCGTCCCCCTGTCGCCTGGACTCACTTCCCCGGCTGTCCACCGCCGAAGAGGCCCTGGGCCGAGTAGCGGTGTCATCCAGCGCGCGAACGGGGTGCGGGGGAGAGTCACTTTCAGAAATGCGCTTGCGCTTCTGACTGGGAGCCAGGCTTTCAGCCATCGGATCGATCGTCCACCCTTTCGAAGGGGATCCATTGGGGATCGGAGGATCCTGGCTGGGTTCTTCCTGATAATGGCAATCGGCGCCTTGAACCCGACACAACAGACATGATTGACCGGGTATGTCTACCGTACACCGGGACTTGCGCTTTCTACATAAGTCACAAGCCCGGACTTTGTGCGATCTGTAGGGCCGCGCGCCTGCGTTGAACCCCGGCGACCCATGTTTCTGGGATGAAGAGCCATTCTGGACCGTCGCGGGTGGCATGGTGAGGCTTCGTCCCCTCAACAATGGTTATCGTCTTCCCCAAGCCGTCTTCATGAGCTGCAAGAGGGCCAATTCAAGGTGTTCACGCGTACGCGTGCGTCCGGTGGGATTTCTCCGAGACCGACGGAGATTGAGGAGTGAGTGGAGAGAGTTGATAAGGGCCGAGCTTCGGCATTAATCAATGAGGGTTGATCGATAGGTCAGATTAGCGCAGAGACCAACGCGGGCAGCATTGAAACGGGGGACCGTCTACTAGGGCAATCGCGCAGACACGCGCATAGTCAGACACTGCAGGACCCGGGGAACAGCCCACGGCCAAATTCTTATTGGAGTTAAGAACGCGGAGAAGGAGAAGAAGAAGAAAACGAGATGAATTCTCGAGACTTAGTCATCGATCACGGAGGGCTTCCCGACCGCCAAGACGTGGGGTGCTGAGTCAGCCACGTGTCCAGCCCGTTCGGGAATAGTCTCGGCCTTCAGCGCTAAGTCGCTAATGACTGTCGGCCTTCTTGGCGTCCTTCCTTCGTCCTCGTCGGCGGTCGCTGAGGAATGGAATCTTGCTTCCAGGTAAGACCTGGTCAAGATAAGCCTAAGCCTGGATGCTTTGACTCTCTTTGCGACCGCCTTTTCCCAATACCCCTTACTTTCGTCTGCCTCGACACAACACGAGAAACTTTTACCCCTCGATGGTTTCAGTCGGCGCACCCACTCCAGTCAAGATCACCGTTGCACCCGAAGCAACCAGACACAGCCACCGACGCCGCTAGTTGGCGCTTCCGTTCTTCCACAGGCAACCAGGGAATCCTGCAAAACTCTTGCTCCTGAGTCTTCTCCTGGGAACATTGCTGAATGTGCGCCATTGAACCTGGGAATGTATTGGCCCAAACCAATGTAGACTCCTATGTGCTGATCATTGACCATGGAGGAGGATGTTCGGTTGCCCTACGCGGAGCAGCTTGACGGCTGTCGGATCGACCATGAACAGCCCGACAAGGCTGTCTCTGACCCGCAACAGAATGGCTCGCGTGAGAAAGGCCAGGGACGGACAAATGAGCAGAGCTCACCACCCTTCTACCGGTTACCTCGCACCGTCATTGAGCAGTAAGTCTGATCTTTCTCTCGATCTTTCTTTTTCTCTCTTTTCTTTCCCCTGTCCTGTTTGCTCGTATAGTTCCCAGCGGCATTAGCGCTGCGGGGACGCAACCGGTCTTTCGCGTCGGTGATTAATTAACCGGTCCTCTAGCATCCTCTACCGCGTTGACGCCAATATCTTTGCATCCCTAACCCTCTTGAATCGAAAATGGCGACGGATTTCCGACTCGCCTCAACTTTATGCCTATCACCTGGCTCGCTGCCCATCTTTCGCCCTGACGCAGAAGGCCACCGCGGTCACGACCCTTCCAGACGGCCTGGCAAACCTGAAACGCTGTTTCCAGGCGGAAATTCGGCGCAATGCATTTGACGTCTTTCTGCGACCTCGGAAAACATTGATCAAACTCATCTCGACGTCTATGAGCTCCTCGACGCCTTTCCCACAGGGTGAAGCTTTCCGGTTTACTTTCTCGCCCAATGCCCAGCTGGTTCTATGCATCAGCTCCTCGCGAATCGTGGTCATCGACGTGGCGACTGGTCCGGCTGTTGTAAGACATGAGTTGAAGACTTCACGACGTCCGTTAGATGCTGCTATCTCGGATGATGGTGCCCTTCTTGCTGTGGTGTCTTCCAGCCACCAGGTTCACGTCTATACTCTTTCCCCTCTCGAGGCAAAACATATCCAGGAACTTCAGTTGAATGATGTACCGCGAACGTTAGCACTCTGTCCAATGGGGGGAGTACTTGCTATCGCATACAATGACCGGATTGAGGTGTACGCCATTGGAGAGGGGGCCTTGGCAACGGAACGACGAGCCGTCCGCTGCAATGGAGTCGATTCGCTGTCGTTCTCGTCTGATGGGGTCATGTTACTTGGTTCTTGCAGTGGTAATGATGATAGCGAACTCGTTACCATCACCGTGCCGTTTTACACGGAGCCGGACTCCGATTCTGCACGAGACGCCCAAATTCGAATGTGGACAACCCAGATACTCTTCCCAGAACTCATCCAGGGTTATACTCATGCATGCCTGCTCCCAATGCATGCCGAGGGTGAGGGTAACTGGGTCCTTGGATTTGACAAGGAGATTGGAGCCTTTCGATCTATCGGGGCCAACAATGCAAACTCTGGTACGACGTATTTTGTGAGCCCCATGTCTCCATGTGGATCGCAAGAATCCCCGCCCGCTATGCTGCCAACGGTCGATTGCCAAGGCGAGCTTGCTGCCTTGGGATTTCAGGAAGCCGGATTGTGGGTGTATGGGCTACCAGATCGCCTGGACATTGCTCCCGCCGCGTCCTCTGCTGCAGGACGAGCCACGGGGAATGATGGCGAGGATTCCCGGGAGTTAGAGACTTTGGCTTTCCCGGGACAGGATAGTTCGACACGGCTACAGCAGTCCATTTTGAGGCCAAAGATGCTTATCAATGGCCATAAAATCAGCGAGGTGCCTGGAATCGCCGCTGCCCGTTGGGTACAGCAACTCGACGGCGCGACGACCCACCGTAGGCTAGTGGCGGTGGCCCCCGGCGGCGTTAATCCCCCGAGCTTTGGCGAGGAAGATGTTCCGGTAGATGGAGGACGGGTGCTTCTCTTCGACTTTACACGGTCCGCTAGCGACGGAGATGTGACCGAGCTCAGCATTGAGATCGGAGAGGCCGAGCCTAAGATGCTGAACGAACCAAATGCTAGCATGGATACTGCTGTTGAATTAGAGCGAAGAAGGACACGATTGCAACGTGCCAATCCTCTTCGTGTACGGCATGCTGCTCGCGAGTCATATCCTGCTGCCTCTCCCACGTATCAAATCGCTCCGTTGAATTTGCGTCGCAATAGCTCCTACTTTTCTGGCTCCTCGAACGAGGCCGGAGAGGGCGAATTTCCCCCAATTCCAGATAGCCCCTATGATAATACTCAACCTCGGTCTCAAGACACATTGCGCCGTGCCGCTACGGCTGCGGCCTCAAGCCGAGGACGGTACAATGCGAGGTACCGAGAGGAAGGCCGTCGGATGTACGACGACAGGCGTGTCCCTCCGATCTTCCAAGTTCCTCATGAAAGCGACGCGGACAATTGGGTCCCTCCGCCGCCCCCGTACTCCCGCGAACCCGACGGGCCGCTGCCGGAGAGCCTCAGGCGAACTCTTCTTCCCACGGGAGCTAGTGCCTCGTCGCCTCAGGTTCACAGATCTCAAACAACCCGTCAAAGTACCACAGAGGAGACGTCGACTCTCTCCTCCTTACAAAGACTAGGCACTATTACCGGTTCTAGGTTCACCTCGCGCGCGAGAAGAAACACGCGTGATTCCGACGACCAAACTCGACGGCATAGCAGTTTTATGCGCCGGAGAACTAATTCGGGAAGCCGCTTTACGCAGAACGTCGAGGAACCCGATGTGCCCGCGGTGCCTCCATTACAAGGGCTTGGCAGCACCCCGCAGCGACCGCAAACCGCCGGTCATATCTCATCACTGCCGAGTCGCGACGATGTTCAGGTAGCTTCCACGGCTGAGATCTCACAAGACCCGACGCAGGCGACCCCACGTCAAGCAGATCAGCGTGAACCAGATCCGGGTCACTCTGCCGAAGAAGATTTGGAGGGCCAGGAAGATACTGTGCCTGCCCTTCCCACAACGGGACCTAATCTAAACTATCCATTCTCTCTCTCGTCGCCTAACCTCCAGGCCTTTGAACCCCAGTACGAGTCTCCGGAGATCATGAGGTATACATGGCTACGCCCTGGGCAACGTAGATCGATAGACCGACGTTCGCAATCCCAGGATCTTCGGATGTCAACAGCAAACATTGTGCCCTTGAATCGTCGAGCCTCCACTGACCCAACTCTTTCTTTGAGCTCCGAGCCATCCAATGATCTCTGGAGAAGACGGATCGAAGAGTGGAATGATCGAACTATCCACGAGAGAAGCAAGAGGCGGACTAAATGTGTCGTGATGTAGACGGATGGAGCGGTCTGTTTTGTTTCATAGTTAAGACATGCTTCTTGTGTATTTTGTCCATACCTTCTGTCTTTGAAACTTGCTTTTGTTGCATATACCCAGGTGACGTATGTGGATGTGGATCGTAGTATTAGATTGGTTTGAATTCACTCGAACTGAATGCCGCAATTGATGCCACTGTTTCAAGCCGTAGCACCGTAGTCAGGTCTAGGCCATCGTCGGCAAGTCCATACGAAAGGCAAGCTTCACCCTGCTCCATCCTGGCCAATGCGTTGGTGAAGATGAGTCAGATCTAATGACGAATCCCCCCATTTATCTCTATGGTATGAGGTGCTCCAGCATAAGTAAACAGACCCTTATACCTCGACACAACATAACCCCCCACCTACCGGTCAGCATATATCTCCATTTCCTCTACCCCTTCTATCATCTTCACTTACAATTCCTACCCAATCGACATGCAAGCCATCCGTCTCCACCCCTCCGTCCCCCGACCCTTCTACTCCCTACTCCCCCACCAACCCAGCCCCCGCTTCAGCCCTAACCCTCGACACCAACATCCCCATCCCTCAACCCTCCAATCCCGACGAGATCCTCATCCGCGTCAAAGCCACCACAGTGGTCCGCGACGCCCTCACATGGCCCGAGACCTACGCCCACGAGTACGCCATCCCGGGCCACGACCTCGCCAGCCTTGGCAGCCGTTCTCTCCTCCAACAACCACCCATTCAAGCTCGGCGATGAGATTTTCGGCATGGCGCATGCCGATCGAGGGTCCGCGTCTGAGTACGTGCTCGTCAAGGCGGACGAGATCGCGTTGAAGCCTGCCAAGCTGTCGTGGGAGGAGGCCGCCTATGTGCCGTTGAGCGCGCAAACGGCCTACGAGGCGCTCTTTATGCATGCTGGTGTTCCATTGCCATCCCTATCGGCATTTGCATCTGTACTTGAGTCTGACTCTCATTATGGGGCTAAGACGCCAACGAACACCCAGAACCAGACCATCCTCATCACCGGCGCCGCCGGCGGAGTGGGAATCTACCTCGTCCAGCTGGCTCGTCTGGCCGGTCTACATGTCGTGGCGGCGAGCAGCTCGAATGCGCGCAATGCGTCGTTCCTGCGCGATCTAGGCGTCCACGAGACGTTCGAGTATACGGATCTTCTTCGTGCAGGTCGGGATCGGATAAACACAAACACAGATCCAGATCCAGACACAACGTACGATATCATATTCGATACAGTCGGCGGGGACGTGTTAGCTGGGTGCTGGGACTTGGTGAACCCGTCCTCGGGGTGTCTGATTTCCGTGGAGTCGGCGAGTTACGATTTCGTCAGGGAGCATGCGGAGAAGGTCGCCAGGACGGGGACAGGGACCGGGAAGGGAAATGGGGTCAAGTCCTTATTTTTTATCGTGCAGGGGAGCAGTGCTGCGTTGGCGGAGTTGGCGCGTTTTGCGGATGATGGGAAGCTGAGGGTTTTCGTACTGGAACGGTATCCTCTTAAGAGGGCTGCTGAGGCGTATGAGAGGGCGAGTGGACGGGGTGGGATAGGGAGAGGGAAGATTGTTCCGACGTTTTGATTGATGTCCTCTCCGGCTCTGTTTATCTGTTCTGACAAGTTGCACAATCGATTAAAGTCAATTATTTCATTCACTAATTAATTACCCTATTACTCCACAAGAGCACATTTTTCATTCTTAGCTATCATCACCAGCATCACCACCCTTCGAACCTCCAAACTTATTCTCCACCTGCTCCTTCGCCTTATCAGCGGCCGATGAGGCCTGGTCTTTGCCTTTGTTGTAGTAGTCGTTGGCCTGGTTCTTGGCGTTGTCAACAGCCTGGTCTATTGAAATCGGTTAGCTAGGGGTCCTTATCTCGTATTGAATGAGAGCTCAAGGATGGGGCTGGGTTGAGTTGAGTCAGGACTTACCACCACCGAACTTCTCCTTGGCCGAGTCGATGGTCGACTGGAGGGATGCTTTGAGTTTGTCCATTCTGCGTAGGTTAGTTTTGGTGGGCATTACTGGGAGAGGAGGGTAGAGAGAGCGAACCTGGTAGGTATGTAGGTAGATATGTACGTCTGGCACTGTGTATGGAGAGGTTTATTGTAGATGAAGGAGTGGGGGGTATTTAGGTCTAGTATCGGACAGAGATGGCTCATTTTATAGAGCCGACAACAAATGAATTACGTCTATGAGTCTCGTCCCTCCTCAAAAATGGAACATCGTGTGCGTCTAGACTGTGGGGAAAAATTACGTGCTGGACATACATAGCAGCAGGAGTGGATGATGTAACCGCGGTGGAGGATTTCCGAATGCAGGTGGAATACACTTTGGCTTGTCCACTGGTTGTGACGGGTAGATAGGAATAAGAGTATAGAGAATAGATAGAGAGGATCGTATGCTTTGATTGATGGTGCATGGTTAAAAGAGGATAAAACTTGAGATAGAATGAGTGGATTCACAGACATACAAGCTAGGGTATAATCAATATCAAACAGGTCTATAGTGCTTCAAAAAGCAAAAAAGAAAAGCACAGAAATTAACAACCTCCTCCGCCTCCACCACACCCTCCGCCGCCGCCGCCGCCGCCGCCGCCGCCGCCGCCGCCTCCTCCACATCCTCCTCCTCCTCCGCACCCACCACTACCGCAACCACCACCACCGCTGCAGCCACCTGCCGCAGCGCAGCTCCCAGCCGCGGCTACACCCCCGCAGGTTCCGGCAGCGCAGCTCCCATACGCCCCCGGAACGGTGTTCATGCAGCTCGGATCCGCGGCGTAGGCGCCAGAATGAACGCCAGGATCGCATTCATACGGCGCGTAGTATGGGACCATGACCGGGAAGCCCCATACGACGGGAACATACGCAAGGCCATCGTCCGCCGCCCGCTGCTCGCGTTTCTTGCCGTCCTTGGACTCCCGCTTCTCGGCGCGACGACGGGCCTTTTCGTAGTTACTGCGCAGCTTCAGGAACTTGACTTGTCGGGAATCGACGTGGTTAGTTGTTGTCGTGGGTCGGACAGCATTATGTGTAGAGATATGCGGATTTTTGTCCGGGTGAGACGAAATATCGGGCCGATCGTGCAGTTTGACAGCCTCCTCGCGGGCCCTGGACGTAGCGCTGGTGACGAAGAGACCGTCGCGCATGTATGGGGCGCGAATGGCTTCGCAGTACCAGCAGGTACATTCGCTGTAGATTTCCCCAGCGGTGAGTTTCTTATACATTTTGCTGGTCCATTCGAAGCCATCCGAGAGCTTTTCCTCGTCAACTTTGTCGTCGTGGTCAATGAAAACGGGGTACCGACGCGCTTCGTTGGTGGTGAGGAGAGAATATGTATAGTATCTCGACGGAGAAAGTTGGTGCGTGTGCCAGGCGAGATCGACATCGAGAGTGGGGACCGCCATATGTCGTGGGTTGGCTGCCATGATCTGGAAGAATACGCGGTATTTCTTGATCAGTCGCCCCATGGTAGCCTTGACTGTCGGCGAGTGAAGCCAGTCGATGTTGTCCATTTTCTGCACAAAGGTCCCCTGTCGAATGACAGCCCCGACCAAGTCCAGGGCGAATGGACTGAGGTTGTCCCAGTAGCGGGACATCATTCGGCGAAAGGCCATCTTCTCGATTGGCAGCAGGAGGCGATTGCTGTTGCTATCACGCATGACCTTTTTGTCGAGGAGCCTGGATATGATCTTGTTTCGCAGGTCTCCTACAGATTTGCATTGCCTCGAACTGGCATCGGTGTACCACAGCAGTTCACGACTAATGGCTTTGACCAGGCGATTAGGGAAGCACCACTGAGTCTCGCGCCTGCTTCTTGGATCCTTGATGGACTCCGGGTGACCTCGATTGTTGAATAACGCGCCGGGCATAGGTATATCCATCGCGACTAGGCTGGCAATATCCTGTCTGAATTTTTCGACCCTCAATTTTTCATGGTCGATTTCATAGCCGCATTGCGGGCATGCTTTTATAAAGCCCTTGTCCGCGAACCCCGTCCAATCTTCGAACATCTTGCCCACCGGTCCAGTGACCACTCCTTCAGTCCAATGAACAGGCACGCGGCCTGTGCAGGAGGGACATTTCACCATCACCTTCGACGAGTTATGTAAATTGTCCCACGCAAACCCCGTCTTCGCTGTGAACGTAGACCTCGCTTTGAGACCTGGATCGTATTCGAAGTTCTTGTTTCCGATGCAGGCATTTATGGCTTTCCAGGGAAAGCCGGTCGCCCAGAAACTCATTTTTCCATCCCGAAGGCAATCCTCGAGAAAGGACCTAGGGTTCAACATATGGGCATGCCAGACCATTAGAACATCTGTATGAAAACGCCTATTAGCAACTGATAATCCAACGCACTGTATCGCGTACCCAAACGAGAGTAAATTTATGGTACTCACCAAGAGGAGGTAGTTTTTCCGGGGACCACACGAGCTGTTTATGGTTTTCAGTAATGGTGTTGTAGCTCTTGCTGTGAAAGTCCTCGACGCTGATCGTTGAATGGGTGGGAGCAACGCATGTCTTCCACCAGACTGCATAGCGCTCAACGGCTCGGGCTGTATACACAGCCCATCGTTTCTCTTTCACTCGAGCCCGCGCCTCGTCGATCAGTTGCTCGAAAACGCTTGGATTGGGGTCACGGATACAGAACAGATCCTTGATGCCACCGATCGTGTCGCGCAGGTCGGCAAGGGCAGCTAAAAACTTGAGATGGGCAACGCACTCATCCGGAGTCACCGTAGTGTAGAGGGCCGGCCCAGCGCTTGACGCGAGGTCTAAAGGTGGAATGGTCGCCTCAGGTTGCTGATCGATCTGATCGTAGGACGGGGGACTGTCGCCAGAAACTTTCTTCATGTTGCTTAACTGGATATGGAAGTTTGTGTTGGAGATATACAACGTGTGTGTGTGTGTGTGTGTGTGTGTGTGTGTGTGTGTGTGTGTGTCTTCTCTAGAGGTGGATTGTAGGGTCCGTATATAGACCTCTGAGGCCCTACCTACCGAAGGCCTCCACTAAGATAATGGAAGGTCCTGGTATAATAAGCGGAGCTGCGTGGGCAACCTCTCAACGGTTTGAATATTCATAAGTTTAGTGTTAATTGGGTATGATGGGTTACAACACATTCTACGGAGGCGGGTGACAAGGGACCTTATATATCGAAGTCTGTCAGATAATAGCAGCAAGTCACGAAGTCATAATACGAGGTCCATGGATGGAGCTAATCAAATCCAGGGGAATTTTGTTGGCTAGTCTGTAGTGAAGAACAAGGCGGTGCGCGCAAGGGGTCAAGCTTCTATGTTGCCCGACAAGCATTGACTCGTATCTCTTGTCCGAGACCCGATGTTCATACGCGGCAAGGCTGACAGGGCAACGAACACTGCCTCGGATGAACCCCACGATGTCATTCCATCGACGTCACGCCGGAAGCGATCGTTGACCAATCAGGCAGGGATCGGAGGACCTGATTTCGTCTAGGGTTGCTTATTGGTCTGGTTTTGGATGGCGGGAGTTTTCTGGAAGACAAAACACCGCGAAAAAGATGGAGTAGTTGCTTTGCAGCTGGCGGTGCATACTGGAACGGGATAAAAGAAGGGGGAGCTTCGGACCATCACCGTGCGCCTTGCACAAGAAAAGATCCTGATCCGCGGCTTAGTCAGACCCACTCGGGCACGTGGCTGCCTCAGGCTCTTTATCATCACGTGGGCCCACATCCGCACCACGTGACAGCGAGATCGGATTTCTCGCCTTCCCCCACTCGTTACTCATCGAGGGGCCTGAAGACGTTCGCTGCACCTGCCCAAACGCTGTTCTCGCTTTCGATCGGTCAGAAAGACGCCGGCAACCGATTCTGCGGTATCTTCTTTGCCTGACGCCTTGCTCCATTCCCGTTCTGGCGGATCTGCGTGGTGGTGAGCCACTGGCGAACAATTTTTTTCGATAATCTATTCTTAGTTCCGCAAATCGATCGGGTCCTTTTCCTGGTCAGCAGCTTAACCTGGCGTCGTTCGGAGGATCACCCAGCGGAATCGGAGGCGGGGGTCTGCAGGGGGACAATCTGGAACTAAGCCCAGGGAATAATGCTTCTGCTGCCACCAGTCCCGTGATGGGAGGTGCTGGCCATCCTTCGGTCTCAGCTACTGGCGGACCCGACGTGGGACCGGCCAGGAAGCGCAATGTCACCGTCGCCGGCTTAGATAGTTCCCCCGGCAGTGTGGATGTTGATGACATTGATGACATCGATAGTCGTGAGGAGAAGAAGAGACAGCCTGTAAAGCGTGCCTGCAATGAATGCCGGCAACAGAAGGTAAGCCTTCCCTCTGTCTCTCCTCCCCAGTTCCTTTCTGTGTTTCTGTCCTGGTGATCCCTGTCTAATTCTCAATTGCTCTGTTGCTGCAGCTTCGTTGTGATGTGAGCCAAGACCCGTGGATGGACTGTTCCCGATGTCGTCGTCTGAGGCTCGATTGTAAAATTGAATCCAACTTCAAACGAGTTGGCAAGCGAAGTCGGAATGCGGAGATGGAACGAGAGATTGTCGCGTTGAGGAAGCAGATTGCCCATGCGCAGGCAAACGCTACTGCAACGCTGCCTCCCCATCCGCCGTCGTCTCTTCCAACGACCCAGCATACTCCTAAGCAAGACCCCTCCACCCAAGTCAGCCCGGTCGCGATGTACCATACACCCTCTGCTATATCCTCGGACCAGTATATGGGCTCTCACGAGGCCGTTGCGTCCCTTCTGGATCTTCGTTCGGGCTTCGATGGCTCGAACTATATGCGAAATGGAAACCATCACTTCAAACGGATCGAGGATGTTGCTGTGGTGCCGGAGAGAGTGACGGAGTTATTTGATCTGTAAGCCTCGGTGGAATTCGGCGTATTGGAGACGCGCTTCGCTAACATTGAATAGGTTCTTCACATTCCATCACCCATTCCTCCCCTTCCTTGACCGTGCACAGTCGCCGGAGGACTACTATAATTCCTGCCCGTTGCTTTTCTGGACCATCATCAGCGTTGGCGCACGTCGGTATACGGCAGACACCCACCTTCTCAACTCTCTCGCAGGTCCTGTCTCACGATTGGTATGGAGCACGCTAGCGGATATCCCGCAAAGCTACCATGTTGTGAAAGCTCTATGCTTGCTTTGCACGTGGCCATTCCCCATTAGCAGCACCTCCAATGATCCCACCTTTATGCTCTGTGGCATGATGATGCAGGTTGCCATGCAGCTAGGTCTACATCGGCCCTCACATACGCAAGATTTTAGCAAGTTCCGGGTCGAATTGATTGAGGAGGAATTGCGAGATAAAGTGAGAACATGGGCTATCTGCAACGTTGTTGCGCAGAGGTATGTCGCTTATAACACCCTTCTGTAGTCGCCGTGACTATGCTGATATACATATAGAGTGGCAACTGGATATGGACAGCCGCCATCCACCTTGTATGACTGGACTTTATCGTCAAGCGACTTGATCGATCCAAACTTTAAATTACCCGAGGGCATTTTGCCTCGACTTGAGATTGAGAAGTTCTGCGACAAAGTCACCAAAGCACTGTACACTAATCGACGTGACCCTGTCGGCCTATGCAGCGACCAAGAAAGGTCATCTCTAATATCATTTCTGTCCCGCGATTATGACGAACTAGAAACTCAGCTTAAGTCGCAGAATGACTGTACGTTCTAAGCTTGATTATCTGTTAATGGACCAGACTAACCTCCGATCAGGTATCACTAACCTCTATCTTCGCGCTTCTAACCTTCATCTCCACCTCTCAGCCTTTTTCGATGACCCTACTGCCAAGAGTTACAGAGAGCGTCTACTTGCGCTGTACGTTGCCACCACAACATTCTTGGAAGCTGCTATGAACTTGGAGACGGAGGTTGGGCCCGTGCTCTCCTATACACCGTATTATGTGTACCAGATGTTGGTTGCAGCAGGCTGCACCTTGCTTAAACTCTCCAGGAGCTTTTTCGCCGCACACATCGACATGGACTACACCAAGGTTCTTTTCAATCGAACTGTTTGGGCTATCCGCGGCGTGTCTGTCTCTAACAACGACCTTCCTGAGCGGCTGGCGGAAGTTCTGGCCCAGATGTGGAGACTGGGAAACGCACCAAGCCCCAAGCCGGCGGACAATACTGAAATGGACGATTCGTTAATGTTGAAGGTGCGATGCCGTATGAGCATGTCTCTGCTTTACGACTCGGTGTGGCGATGGCGCGAGGATGCGCGGACCAAGGGTCGCAACCTCGAAGGTATTTCTCCAAAGAGTTAACCCGTTCTCTGCCAAACTGATACTGACCGTGAAATCCAGCTTATCTCAAAAACCCCACAAACCCGGATTCGAATGTCGACTCATCCGCATCATCTTCGGTTGGAGTACTTCAAACATCTACTTCAACTCCCGGGGTGTCTGCCGCAGATCCAAGCCTTGCTCCTGCCCCCTTGCTCCCGCCAGCTACTCTGGGTGTGCAACCTAACAACGGAGTCGGAGCGCTGCCCAGCGGATTCATGGAGCCCAACTACGAGGTCTTCGACCCATTGAACTGGCTTCTGGATGGCCTAGTAGACCTGCCTTATTCCTCGTACTCCACGATATCAGGGATGGAAACTCAAGGAATTGCCTAGAACGACTCACACTCTTTTCTGTGTTACTACACGAAAGACTCATTGACATAATACCAGTCACTGGGCGTTATTCGATACCTTAATGCGGGGTTAGCGTGATTGATTTGAATTGTTTTGTACCTGTATATATACCAAACAGCGCCGACGCCATCAGATCAGGTGAAAGGGAGCGATGGAGTTTGGATTTCTGCTTTTGTTTGTTGATTGCCTTTTTATATTCTTATATTTATTCTTGATGTCCTCGTCGATACCATGTACGGCCACTCTGCTATGATACTGCTTGAATTTATTTGACTTTTGGGAACTGCTATATGATTGTGGCTTCATTACATTTAGCCGTGGTTGAACCGACCCACCCACCGGGGGAACGGTGGGTGGTCTGCAGCGCAATGGAATTTTCACCGCAAAGGAAGAAATTCGTATTTTTATCATTTTGAAGCCATAAAAACCACCAAACATGCCTAAATCTTGCAAAGTTCGAGAAGAACGTATAAATGAAGCCGCTGAATACGCTCGTTGCAATAAAAATCTCTCTATCGCAAAAGTCGCGCGAGATTTCGATGTTCCCTACCGTACACTCCACGGACGCGTTTCCGAGAATCGATCGCCTCGTACTGCTCGAATCCCACAAAATAAAACGCTCAATGAGTATCAGGAGGAAGCCTTGAAGCGGTGGATCATTCGTATGAATGATCTTTATCTTCCTATCACGATATCGATGGTTGAAGAGATGGCAAATCGGACCTTGCAGCGTACGGGATCGGATCAACGCGTCTCTACAACATGGGCCTATCGCTTCAACCAGAGGCTTCCTGATCATCTCAAATTGGAGAAGGTGGCTCAAAAACCGAAGGAAAAGAAGCGATTGGATGCCGAAGATGTTGGACTGCTTCAATTCTGGTACAATCAGCTCTCCAACGTGCTTAAGGGCCTTCCCGCGCGCCTCGTATACAATTTCGATGAATGCGGTTTTCAACCAGGCAAAGGAAAGCGTCAAAACGTCCTGACTAGGAAAGAAAGAGTTCGTGATCTTACAGAATCTGAGCATTCTGAAAATATTACAGCTCTTGAATGCATCTCTGCAGACGGCTGGATCATGAAGCCGCTTTTTATCTTCAAAGGCAAGAAGTTTATGGAAAGCTGGTATCACGAGGATCTGCCTGACCTCTATACTGCAGTATCAGAAAAAGGCTATATCAACGATAAACTCGCGCTTGAATGGCTTCGCTTATTTCACGAGGAAACCATGGATCGTATAAAAAAAGGAGAAAAACGCGTGATTATCTTTGACGGTCATACTTCGCATAAAACAGTTGAATTTCTTCAACTCTGCGAGACCTACGAAATTATTCCTTTCTGTTTTTTATCTTATACAACGCAGATCTGCCAACCTCTTGATGGGACCCCTTTTCTTGCATATAAACAGAAATTCAAAAAGAACAATAATGAGATATTTCAGTGGACCGGGAAGCCCGGAGATAAAGCAACTTTTTTGAAGGATATCGTGGCCGCGCGCGCGGAAACCTTCAAGCAACGGCGTATACGAGAATCCTTTAAAGAACGCGGAATCTTCCCTCCAAATGGATCGTCAATCATTGAAGCGCTTGAAGATACTCTACCGCCGATTCCGTTGATATCAGCGCCTGATCTTCGGCCGTATGGAGAGACTACGCCTCCTCCGAATCCTGTCTCTTCAGGCGTATTTTAATTGAAAATACGCCTCCACGAAGCTCTATACAGGTTCAAAAAAATGAGAAAAGATCGCTCAGGTCTTCGCGAGCGAGGACTTGACCCCGAAGGTCAAACACAACCTTGAGCGTATCCTACACCATGCGAAGATTCAATGTGAAGATCTCGCGAATACGATCACTACTCTTCAACGAATAGAGGCGCTTTCGGGCCCGCGCAAAACGACTAAACGAGAAGTAAAGGCCTTTCGGATAGCAGAATATTGAGTGTAAAGGATGCAAATGGCTCTATCGCGAATAGAAGGGCGAAAGAGGCTGCCAGCAAGGAGAAGAAGTTGAGTAAGGTGTATAAAGAGAAATACGCCTGTTTACCGCCTCAACTTGCAGTCCCTGATGCAGAATCGCCTACTGATTGTATTGATAATATTGCTTTTTACGATCCTCTACGTGGTTGATTGATATATTCAAATTAATACGAATTGCTTCATTTCTTCCTTTGCGGTGAAAATTCCATTGCGCTGCAGACCACCCACCGCCTTCCGCCGGTGGGTGGGTCAGTTCAACCACGGCTAGTGTTACTTTCTAGGCGGTGGAAATCTGCCATAACTAATTAACTTAGTTAACCAGTCGAGGCTACGTCATCGGATGACCGTCAGCTCTTCTTGAGCTGGACTACCTACCCTAACATACCATATCTACTACATAACACATCCATCCCACAAACACCAACACATAACGAAATAGAATCAACTCTCCATAAAAATATATATACATATACACCTCCACACCTACACCAAAGAAAAGAGAAGAGAAGAAAAGAAAACCTCCGAGAGCAACAATGACCTCAAAGTACAAAATCGCCCGACCCCTAAACGCCGGCACAAAGCAATCACTCAAAAAGCCAACCCAAACGCCAACCTTTACAGGCAAACGCGCCTCTCCCTCTACATTCCCCTCGCTGAACCCAAGCGCCCTCCCCGCATCGGTCTCTTTCCTTCCTCCTCGATCCACAGACGACGGAACGGATCCGCACACGCCAACGGAATCGTTCTCGACGGCGCGCACGCAGGAGATAGACATTGTTGGGGAGGCGGGGCAACCGTTTCTTGATCCGGTAGTTTGGGAGGGGATAAAGAAGGTCGGGGAGATCAGGAGCAGGGATAAAGAAGGGGACGGGGACGGGGACGGGGGTGAAGAAGGGACAAAGACAGGGAGGAGATTAGGAAGGAAGGAGGCGGAGGAGGAAGAGCGGAGGAGGAGGGAGAGGGAGGCGGAGTTTGGGGGGATGGCGGTTAGGGGGAGGATTAGGGGGAATGTATGATGTTATGTTATGAACTATGAAGAGGCCGGGGGTATGGCGATGATTGTGAGTTTAGCTGAATGGAGGATGGGATCAGATCAGAGCGGAGCAGATGGATCAATAGAATATAATAATCATATGCCATTTGTATGGTACATTGGAATAGACAAAGCAGAACAGAACAGAACAGAACGCCCAAGCGACTCGACCTTTGTAGAACCATTGTTTATACCTCATGTCCACGTATCGTCTGTCAGGTCATTCATTCATCGTAAATCATCAGAACGTAGCAGGTTGGACTGCAAGAAACAAAATTTAAAAAGAAACAGAAACATGGCAAAACACCGCAAGGCAGGGCACGTAAAGCATAACAAAGAGCATAATCTCCCAAAAGGTATATCATCAAATCATAGCAAATCATAAACATAAACATGAAATCAAAAGCAATTTCTCACTGGATCATACTCCGTGTTTGGGTGCTGGAATCCACAAAAACCGCCTCCCCAATGCTCTGCTTGAGTCGTTCTCGTCGGGCCTCGCGTTTGCCCTCCGCGCGTCTTTGCAGTTGGCGCCTCAGGCGTCGACGGAAGTCTCGTGCGTTGCCAAAGCGGAACCGCAATCGCCACCACGAAAGGGATCGGAAGTGTCGCTGGTGAAGCGAGGTCTGAGAATACAGGGCCTCGGGCGTGAACACTCCGCTGCCCACGAGGGCACTCCGACGGGCCGGCGTCCCGTCGAATCGTCGTTTTGGGTCGGGGCTGCGGCGAGAGATTGGCGGTCCTTCGAAGGCCACTCGCGGTTGAGGCATTCCGAGCGAGTTCTTGATCACCTGGTCTGTTTCCGATCGAGAAGCTTGGGGAGTCTCATCCCGAGGAGAATCGCCTTCCGTCTCAGAGGAGTCTTCCCAGAATCGTCGAGGTCGCCAGAAAGGTTGGAGCTTGTCGTCGATTTCTTTCCCAGATTTACGATTCTTCGCCGACTTCAGCGACAGGGATCGCGTAAACGAATTGAAGGATTCAGATCCGGGCCGCACTCGCCAAGAGCGCCGAGCGCCATGTCGGGGAGTGGGCTGGGGATGGTCATGGGTGTCCTGAGTATTCTGCGGTTCGCCCGGTTGAGGATCCACCACGTCCACCGGCATCAATGGATTGTCAGAGTCGTGAACGGGTGGTTTCGGTGGCCGGCGAGGATTCTTCAATGGCGAGCCCATCTCACCCGAATCGGATCTATCTGGCGTTTGCACTTCAGGGGTTCGCGGTTTTCCAAGACTGCTTCGATAAGCCATTCGGGGCAACCGCCCGTGATGTACAGACTGCATCTGTGGATCGACTAGCAACAGGGATTCGTTATTATGGGGGAAGAAAAGCACAGTTGTGGCTTCGTTGATCTCGACTGGCCCCGGGGATGACGATGGGATCGAGATGGCCGTGAAAGGTGCTGACGGCGGACGCAAGTGAGACATATCCTCCACCCCAATCAAGATAGAATGAGTTTTGGGAGCGACATCCGGGACCACGCCGGGACCACGAGCCTTCTTCACAGGGGCCGGGGCCGAAACCGGTAGCTCAGCAGGTATGTTCTGCGCTTCAAGATCCATCGCCAGGGTATGATTCCGAAGGCTCTCCGAAGTGAGTGACGTAGACCGGGAGTTGTTCTGGCTCGTGGGTGCTGACAAGGACGAGCTGCGGGGAGGAATGACCGGCCGCGCGAGACTGCGACCTCGGGAGTCTACGCTTGGACGGCGAGTCGTGCCGCTTGAATCAGACATGGTGCGCTTTTTCGTGCGAGGAACATCGATTGACCCCGGTCGACTGGTCGAGGTAGGTGGTGCACGCCGACTTGATCGCCGGGAAGAGCTGGTCTTCGAAGGGGTTCTGCTCGTAGAGGTCGAAGATTTGAGCGAAGAGCGTCGGTCGGGAATGACAACCACCGGAACTACCTCGTAATGCTGCCGAGGAACCCCCAAGGTTGAGCTTCCCGAGGCCGAAATGTCCGATGCGATGCTTCTGCGGTCATTCTCCGTGATGCGCGCGATTTTGTGAACCAATCGACGATGGGAATCAGGGTTTGAAACCAGCGAAGAACGTTCCGAGCGCGTCACGGGGGAACTGGCGGATCGCAACGAAACTCTCTTCTCGCTGTGGCGGAGGGTTGGCTTGGTCGGCTGTGGCGAGTCGATGATCATGGCTCCGACGGTCGACGACGTGGACACGCCTGAGTGTCGGCGAGTATCGTCGGAGTCGACGGGGTCCGGTGGACGTTCCCCAGACGGCCAGCCGATCTGTTCACGGAAGTGATCCATCGACGGGCTAGCGTTAGGGCCGGGCGAGTCGTGGACTCGCTCCCTCAGACTGCTCACGCGCGTTCGCGGAACCTCCAAACTGTTATGAGCATTCGCATCCGCTTCGTTCACATGGCGAGGATCCGAAGGCTCTGACGGATCAAGCGCGATCGGGATACGGTCTTCCGAACGTTTCTTTCGTCGAGATGGTGGCGCAGGCATTTCAGAGTATTCCGACTTCTTATCTTCCCGCCCGGAATTTGCATCGGTTGGTTGCTCCAAGGGCCCGTTCTTAGACGGCGTTCTCTGTCTTGCGGAGCGCCGAAGGGATTGAGAGGAGCGACGAGGCCTCTCAGTTTCGCCGTCGGAAATTATCTCGTAGGCGGTTTGGAACGACTCCGCTCGGGACGAAGAGGGCGTCTGACCCACCGGATTGATACCCGGACGTTGGGGAGTGAGTCTCGGTGGTGTCGTTTCTGGAGTTGGGGGATGCGAGGGCTTGGAAGGTGTCATTATATCATTCACGGACTGAGAAGGAGCGCCTCGAGGCAATTCTGAATCGCTTGCGGTAGGCGTCTTGTCTTGACTCATGCCGGGGGGAGTCAGAGGGAGGGCGGGAGCCGTAGCCAGTGCAGCTCCTTTTGAAGGGGGGACATTTTGGTCGGTGGATATGTGGATGCCTTGGCCATTCTTCGGCGCCAGATCGGATTTTCGAGGCAGTGACTTGTGGGACTTAAATAACGGCCGATCCAAGTGCTCTGGCGAGACTGGAGACGTGCCAGCGAGGTCAATGCCGGGCATGGTGAGGCAGCCCAACGACCCAAATGAGGTCGAAGTTCGCGGGGCGAATCGACAGCAGAGACGTAAGAGGAGGCTATTGGTGCATTAAAACCACCACGGACAATGGGAAAGGGGACTAAGCGGAGTTTAAAGCATGACACAGGAGATGTTTCAAATAAGAATGGGCCAAGTTGAGGATTGACGTCGCATAATGAAAGCAATAAGACGAACTGTAGATTGAATTGGACCCTCCATCCACGGGGACCAACACGAAGACAGCTGTCGGATATTCCAATATTTTGACGCCTCGGTGAGCAGAGAAAAAAAAAAGGAAAATTTAAAAATTCTCAGTATTTTTGTCACCCCTGGGAAATTTGTTTGCTTCTTTCCAGAAAGTCCTCCCCCAAGCAGCGCAAAGAATCGGCAAGGGAGCGGAATCAAGAAGCGTAAGGGTGTAACGTTCGCGAGCCGCGTCTTACCCACCAGGCGAGGCGGAACGAGAAATCGGGACCCAGACCAGCGCAATGACAATTCAGTGGGCTAAAAGACCCGAAAATAGAGTAGCGGACCAGGAAATTAGCTTAAGGTCCCGTTGGACCAGGAAAAAGGCCCGACAGAGGGTGCGACAAGGCAAGGAAGGGGGCGAGACGAAAGGGCGATTCCACGTTGCAAGTCGTGGATACCTAGGGATTCCCCGGGGCCAACCAGGGCAAACCGGGCGAGTTGAAGACGTGACCGGGCAGGAAGTGAATGTCCTTTTTTTTGATAATTATTTTATTCCCTGTTCTCTTGAATTGTTTCTAATCGCAAGGGAACGATTGACGGAGATGAAGATGAGACAAGTGCGGGGGGGAAAGAAGGTCAGAAGGAGCAAAGAAAAGGCGATTTAGACGCCGGCGAGGGGAATTTTTTTGCCCGCGAGCACCCCTGCAGCAGCCCCCAATCCAGCCTGTCATCCTCTTGTACTCTACAGAGTGCGTGCTGTGTACGAGCACGGTGGGTGTAGTGTGTACGGAGTAAATTCCAGAGGGGTGAAAAGTGGAAATGAGAATTGACGTCTACATTCGAGGGACTCTGGAGACTCTAGGGACGACTCTAGGGAGGAAGTACAGTCTACGGATACTCTACTTCCATCCAGAGGACCACGGAACGACGAACGCAAACCGTCGGGAGGGAAGTAAAGATCTCTGGGAGGGAACCGGATCGTCGACGTACATACAGCCCATTCAATCTCGCTTGGCTGGGATTTAAGTGGTTGACCAGGGGCAATGACGAGGAATGACGCCGTCACTCCACCGGGTTTGGGAAAAGGGTATTGTCTGGCTCGGCGACAATCGGATTTTTGGTTCGATTGGCTCATCCGGATCTTAGGAAGGACGCGGAGAGATGATGATGAATCTAGATCTTCCGAGTAGATTGTACAGCGAGGGAATCTGGGAGTTTGGTGATCACAGGAAGGAAGATCCTAAGCATAAGAAGTCTTGGGCAGAGAAATGTGAACACAGTACTCCATAGTCCATACAGCGTAGACGATGCGAACAGCAGATCGAGGGATGAGTCAGCCGATGACATAACCGTCGGCTCCGAGGTCGTCGATCCGCCGACGTCATGGAATGCCATGGGGGGGGAGGGGGCTGCTTTTAAATTTGGTCGAGGGAAAATGAATGGGGAGGCAGAGTCCAGAGCAAAGAATGATATAAGGGGAGGCCGTCGGGGGAGGTGATTGGGAAATCCGGTTTTCCCGGGATTGGCCAGGACCCAGCATCATCCATCATCATTACTCCGTGTCTGTAGAGACTCTCTGTAACTAGGTGTAGTTAGTGAGTACTCCGTAGTGAGAGTAGGAAGGGAAAAGCAAAAAAAAGAAAAGGAAAAAAAAAACATCAGCACATCCGCCTCCCACTTCCGTCACTTCCCCCACCATCTGCATTTTTGCCCTTCGCCTTAATTAAATTTAGTTCTCCCTCGTCTGTCCCCCCGGCTGCTGGCTGAATTGCCGTTGGTTTTCCTTTTTTCTGTTCGAAGATCTCACTCATCTCTCTTCACTTTTCACCATTCTCTCCTCCTCACTTCCTCCTCGTTCGATTTGCATTTCTCCCTCAGTCTGACAGTCGATCATTCCTCACTCTGACGACATCCGTGACTCTAGTGGGGTTCAGTGTCGAAAAAAATAGAAAGCAGAAAGAAAAGTGACAAAGAAAGACTTCTCTTGGGAGATTTCAAAACCCTCCGACTGTTGCTTCCTCCCTTTCTTCCTCTTTCCTCGCCCCCTGAACGGCTTTGTTTGCCCGACGCTACCTACGCTTGTGACCCCCTCCTTTCCCTCCCCATCGTCGTCATAATTTCCCTCCTCCGTCTCTTCTCTGCTCCTCTCTTGTCTTACCCGACGGGGGATTACTCAGCATGAGTACCATCCAGAATCTCAAGAATTTCATACGTCATGGCAAACAGGCTCGCCTGGTGACGCCGCATGCCGAACCTACCACCAACGTTTCCCCCATCCATGCCGAGCAACAACGTCAGCCCCAGCGTACCTACCCTCCCGCCGCCGGGAACCTCGATGCCATCGACAGCAAATTGGGTCACTCCCAGGCCCAGCCTCAGCCCGCCCAAAAGTCCCCCGAACAACCGCACTCCCGTCGTGCCCGCGACGCCGAACTCGAGCAGATCGTCGCCGAGGAAAAGAGTGTCCGCTCCAAGATGCCTCGCTACCCGGGCCTCGAACGATGGATCCTGATGGAGAAGATGGGCGACGGCGCCTTCAGCAACGTGTATCGCGCCAAAGATACCACCGGCGAATATGACGAGGTGGCCATCAAGGTCGTCCGGAAATTCGAGATGAACAGCAATCAGGTAGGTTCAAGCCACCCGTCCGATCCTTCTGCTCTGCCTGCCCTACGCCATCGTTTCTCCACTTCCGTCATTTATTCCCTCTGCTGTTTTCTGTTCGCGTCGTCGCTTGCTCTGCGTCATTGTTCTATCTGTCCCTTTCGTGACTCTGCTTCTTCGCATGCTTCGAACTTTGTCGCCAATGTAACTTTTAGCACGACTTTCTACACCCCGGACTAAAGAAAAAGTCCAAAGGGGCCGAGGTGCGCAAATCCTGAGGAGCATACCTCTTCAATTCTCTTGCGTTACCTGATTCTCCGCACCCTTCGCATACTCGTCGTCCACGCCATGACCTGTACCATCTTGCTATTGCTCCATTTCTGCTTTTCAAACCTCGCAAATGGTATATGTTTGCTAACTTGTTTGCAGCGGGCCAACATCCTCAAAGAAGTACAGATTATGCGACAGATCGACCACCCGAACATCGTCAAGCTCGTGAACTTCTCCGAATCGCCCCAATATTATTATATCGTGCTGGAATTGTGCCCAGGAGGCGAATTGTTCCACCAGATTGTCCGATTAACGTATTTCAGCGAGGAGCTTAGTCGACATGTCATCGTCCAGGTTGCCGAGGCGATTGAGTATCTTCACGAGACGTCCGGAGTGGTACATCGGTACGTTGCCCCCATGCCCCCTCTCTGTCTCATTGGAGATCAGCGTGGCTGACTGTCTTTCCGCAGGGACATCAAACCCGAGAATCTTCTTTTCTACCCGATCCCCTTCGTTCCGAGCAAGCATCCCAAGCCTCGTCAGCCCGGCGACGAAGACAAGGTAGACGAGGGCGAGTTCATCCATGGTCAGGGCGCTGGCGGAATTGGAAAGATCAAGATCGCCGATTTCGGTCTCTCCAAGGTCATCTGGGATAGCCAAACGATGACCCCTTGCGGTACCGTTGGTTACACCGCCCCCGAAATTGTTAAGGACGAAAGATACTCCAAGAGTGTCGACATGTGGGCCCTCGGTTGCGTGCTCTACACCCTCCTCTGCGGTTTCCCCCCCTTCTACGACGAGAGCATTCAGGTCTTGACCGAAAAGGTGGCCCGGGGCCAGTACACCTTCCTGTCGCCTTGGTGGGATGACATCTCCAAGTCGGCTCAGGATCTGGTCTCGCACCTCCTGACGGTGGATCCCGTCAAGCGTTTTACCATCAAAGAGTTCCTTGCTCACCCGTGGATCCGTGGGAGTAACGAGGAAACGAGCGCTGCCGAAGATGCGCCCCCACTAGCGACTCCCCTCAGCACACGCCAGGCCCAACAAACACCTTTGGACGCCGTCGGAGCGGATCAGGCCCCATATGCGCCCGCAAGCGCGCGCCTTGGAGACCTGCCCTCCGCCGGGCTGGAGCGTCCCATGGATTTCCGATCTCCAGGTGCGATCAACCTCCGCGAGGTTTTCGACGTTGGTTATGCCGTCCACCGCCAGGAAGAGGAAGCGAAGCGACGCAAGAACTTCAAGCACGTCTACCGTGGATCCAATTCGACGGCCGGATTCCAATCCGCGCTGAACCCGCTTAATGAAGACTATGATGATGACGACGCCGACATCGCCTATCAGAGCATTGCTGAAGACGAGTATCCTCCTTCGAAGGTCCACAAGAGCACTAATCAGGCAAAGGATGTGGCTATGATGGAAGCCAAGTTGCGATCGACCAACCTCGGTGCGGCTCCCCCCAGTCATGCCGCGCAAGCTCGGCAAGCGAACCAGCCCCGACAACAACCACAGGGTTACGGACAACATAGTGTCGCGGTTGCCACCGCCGCAAAGCAGAAGGCTGCTCAGTCAGCGCGGCAGCCATTCGAGCTCAACTTGGGCAATGCTTCGTTGCTAGAAAAGAGAACTAGACGACACCAACCTGTTAGCTGAGTTGTCGTGTGTCCATCATTTTGTCACTTTTCTACTTCTCTCTTATACCTAGTTTTTCTTTTTCTTTCTTCTTTCCTCTTCTTTACTCGTCATTTGCACGCATCAACGATGGGATTATGTTTATGAAATGTGAGCGATGGGCCATGAACTATTTTGGGATTACTGGGCGGTAGTCTTCCACCGGGTCGCTTTCCTTTTGTTCTCTTTTCTTATTTCGGGTGTTGTTTGTTCCTTCTGTTTGATATCTTGCGGCTTGTCTCTCCATTAGGTTTTCTTATTTTTCTGGGTTCAGGGCTTGGGCGAAGCATGTGTTATGCAATTGTTTGATATTATTCTCCTTTCACGTTCATCTCGTCCTCTTTTTCTCTGTGTTCTCTGTTCTATAGCGCATAGGAGGAATCTCACTCGGACCACATATACAAGGGTTCTAGATACTTTTATCTCTTTGTCTCCATATTCCTCGGTTCGTTCTGTCTGTCTGAAAACCCAGCAGATACATTGGATATATATACATATAGATCCTTGTGCTTATGCTTGTGCTTGTGTTTGGGCTTACAGTTTGGCCGCGCTTGCATGATTTGGTCTGTTCCTGTGATTTGGAAAGTAATGTCTATGGATAAAATGTGTCCGGTAAATCAATCATTAGCCTTGGGAGGCTCTTCTACCACCTTTTGAGTCTTATTACTTTAACTTGATGTGTATGCATGTATTCACTTTATACTTGAGTATGAATAGACGTGCATGTGCATTCCCAGGACATTAGATTTGGAGAATAGATATGAAGTAGGTTATGTAGGATAGGTCTGACCCGCCGATCAATCATACTCTGATATTGGCTCTGTCTGTCTAGCCCGACAACTTGATTCTTCCTCCGGTTGAATATGTATCTATTTCCTTTATCAACTAGATACTGTATCAGCCATTTGATTTTACTGGGTATATACTAAATTTGAAATAGTTCAACTGCTACTTGGGCAAGGTGCCAGTCAAGAGTATCCAGGTCAAGATAGAAAATCGCCTCTACACATCGCAAGAAGCCAGGCACCCCCTACCCCTAATCCAGCTTCTGGTCGAGAATATTGTGGATATTGATATCCCAATAGGGGACCACTCTCATGTGTCTACGGCAAGAACACCGCTAGCTAATCCTACCCTAGCCGGGCCATATGGACGTGGTTCTGTAGCTCCTCCGTCGTGGTAGGGCAAGGGATGGTCATGAATGATGCACGTTCTTGTCTGAGAGTAGTTATGTCATAACGGGCTTTCATCATGCCGCGTCTGAAGGGTGGCATGGAATCGTGGACCGTCTTCTCTATTTGGGCATGGATTGCAACGCAGTGTATGTGGACGGACGAACAGCGTTGCACGACGCAGCACAGGACTCGGGAGATTCGGAGAAGGCGACAGGCCACGAGCTGACCTTTAGTTGGTAGCCCAGGGAGCCTGGGTCGATGCGCGAGACAACCAGGGAAGAACAACTTTATTTGTTGCCGCTCGACATATGTTTTGGTCTGCTTTGCGTCAACCCAGGCGCTCATGAACAGGGCGCGGGCAATCGATGAGGATGCGCTCAAGGAAAGCCTAGCAACGAACAGTCAGAGTAATATTTCAGCGAGCGGAAAGGACGAGGACGATAGTGATGATAGCGGTGAGAAGTTAGATCCAGAGATCGAATATCATAAACCAATTTATCAGGAAACCCAACTACTAGAAGGGCCCCCGCTCTTATCTGCGTGAGGTTACATCGTCCGATAACAGACGAAATCCGCCATTCGATCAGGCAATTTTCCTCTTCATCTCCATCCTCTTCGCCATTCTCAGGTCCTTCGCAGCTATCACGTCATTCAGTTTAATATTCTCTTTTGCATCAAATAAAGTAATACAGAATGAACGGAGAGGGCCAGCTCGCCAGCAATTGCGGATTTGAGGCAGCTCCACCTTTTTCTCCTCAGTCAAAGCTTAGCGTTCCCAAGCGCCAAACTACTCGCACCGCTAGACCGGAGACAGTGGAGGGACGGCGGTCTCCGTGTGGTCTCCGCTTATCTTTCCATTTGCCTCTCTCCATATTATCTTTCTCTCTCCCCCTCTCCCTCTCCCTCCATCGGGCTCAAACCCAGTCAAGATGGCGATCGCAGGTGTTCGATAGGGTTCTAGCCTCAGGTACAACGACCCAAATCGAAGAAGCTGCAAGGGGGACACAGCTGCACCCGTGGATCGCGGAGGGTGTCTTATCACCACCAGGAACCATGTCTTATCACACAATCCCTGAGATTAGCGTCCTTCCTAAAGTGTCGTTAGTCTGCGTCTTCTCCGGAATGGATCCCGCGCGGGCAAGAAGCTGTTATCCAGTCAAGCTTTACGCCGAGGTCAACCGACGGCTTGTCCTCCTTGTCCCGCCTTGGTTCTCCTCATTTCCACAGATATGAGGTCCATGACCATTGGCCGTGGCCTCGCTCCATGCGCACAGAAGGAGCCGGTCTTCCGCTAGGGCCGTTGCTGTAGAAGCTCCAACTTGTCAGGTTCCAATGGTTAATTTGGACGTCCCACCGGGAGATTTGTTGTCGGTGGTGTTGTTGCTTTTTCCAAATCCCCCGTCGCAGGGATTCCATCGCTTAAAAGTAGCTAAGGTCCCTACATAAATACCTTGCCCCTGCCCGTACAAAGTGACACGAGAAAAGCACGGAAGATTTTTTCCATCCTTTCCCTGCAACCCCTGCCAGGATGCTTTTCCGCTCTCTCCTGTCAACGGCTGTCATAGCCCTTTCGCTAAGTGCAGACAATGTCTCCGCTGCGAAGCATGGCCCTTTTGGAAGAAAGGCGCGCGACTCGCTGGCCAAGCGCAGCCCGCCGCCTGTTCAAAAGCCAGGAAATCATTCCACCGAGGGTTTCAGATTCCTGGATCACAAAACAAAGCGTACGGTTAGCCAATTATTGTGCTGAGGTCATGATGCTGATACGTTTCTTCTTCTCGTCTGATAGCTTACCGTGTGGAGAGCCTGCCCGACGTTCCGTTTGATATAGGCGAGATGTACTCTGGATCAGTGCCGATCGAGAAGGGTAACAGCTCGAAATCGCTCTTTTTCATATTCCAACCCAAGCTTGGGGAGCCGGTTGATGAAATCACTATCTGGGTCAACGGTGGCCCGGGTTGTAGCTCCCTCGAGGGCTTTTTCCAGGAGAACGGTCGGTTCCTGTGGCAGCCGGGAACCTTCGCGCCTGTTGAGAATCCTTATTCCTGGGTGAACCTGACCAACGTGCTCTGGTATGTCTCATCTAACCAAGTGGTTATGCTTGTTAATCAATCGTATTAATCGGGGTGTCTGTTATAGGGTTGATCAGCCTGTCGGAACCGGCTTTGCCTTGGGAACTCCAACTGCAGTCTCGCAGGAGGAAACAGCCAAGGATTTTGTCGACTTCTTCAAGAATTTCCAAAAACTTTTCGGAATCAAGAACTTCAAGATCTTCGTCACGGGTGAGAGTTATGCCGGGCGTTACGTTCCGTACATCTCTGCGGCAATGCTGGATGAGGAGGATAAAGAGTACTATGACGTGAATGGTAAGTCCTCACGATACCAATCGAAAACGAGGGTCCTCATACTCATCTGATTATTGCAGGAGCACTGGTGTATGACCCTTGTATTGGACAGCACGACTACGTGCAAGAAGAAGTGCCCGCAGTGCCATTTGTTCAACAGCACGCCAACCTGTTCGGCTTCAACGCCAGCTTCATGGAGGAATTGGAGAGTCTCCATAATTCCTGCGGTTACGCGGACTACCTGGATCAATACCTGGTCTTCCCTCCCTCGGAAGTCCAGCCCCCGAAATTATTCAACACCACGAGCGAGGCCGACTGCGACGTCTTCGATATCATCAACAACGAAGCCATGCAGTCCAACCCTTGCTTCGACATCTACGAAGTCAACCTGATGTGTCCCCTCCTCTGGGACATCCTCGCCATGCCCACCGCGCTAGACTACCAGCCCGCCGGCGCGACCGTCTACTTCGATCGCGATGATGTCAAGAAAGCCCTCCACGCCCCGAACATCACCTGGTCCGCCTGCTCGACCGAAAACGTCTTCGTTGGCGGCGACGCAGGCCCCGAAGCCGAGGGCGATATCTCCGCCAACCCGATCGAACACGTTCTCCCGCAGGTCATCGAGGCAACCAACCGGGTGCTCATCAGTAACGGCGACTATGACATGATCATCCTAACCAACGGCACCCTGCTGGCCATCCAGAACATGACCTGGAACGGAGAATTGGGCTTCCAGGAGGCCCCGAGCACCCCGATCGACATCACCCTGCCAGATCTCCAGTACCAGAATGTCCTGGAGGAGAACGGCATCACCACCTGGGACCTCGGCCAGGGTGTCATGGGCATCCAGCATTACGAGCGCGGCCTCATGTGGGCGGAGACGTACCAGAGCGGACACATGCAGCCCCAGTACCAACCGAGAGTGACCTACCGTCATCTGGAGTGGCTTCTGGGTCGGACTGAATCGTTGTAAATGCAAGGGGTAAAGGAGTCCCGCCTGAATGCATGATCTGTACTCCGTACTCCGTACAAGTATGTATGTACACGAGACAAGCGGTGCCGAGGGCCCGAGACAACTTCCCTCCCCTCCTATTCCCACCGGAAAGAGGAAAGAAGAAGAAAAGAAAAAGCCATGAGGCCCAAGAAATCACGGGCAAACGGCCGAAGGCCTACCATGCTGTATACATTACTTAGCCCGCAACACTTTTTTTTAATATAACGAAATATATGACCACACTCCTCCAGGACGACAGGAATACATAACCCCTTTCGGGTCGAGAAATCTGATATCATATTTTAACTACTCTAGGTAAAAAACCCAAATTCCCAGTCTAAGAAATTTAGAGGGCCGCCACATCTTCTTGTCTTGTAGGACCCGGGACGGGTGGCTGAGCTAGGAAAAGAAAGCTCATAGTCATCAGCCTTATTTGCCAATCACTCGTAGTTTATATAATCGGGACAGGGATGTTCGATAACTATAAGGGGCTAGCTAGTAGGTGATAAGGCAACGAAGCTGAAGTATCCTCGAGCCAGATAGATCTACATAGGTAACTAACACCTGCAATCAGTGTAGGCCCGGTAGATAAGGCCAAAAGCCTAAACACCTCAGGCAAATATACACGTACGGTATTTATTAATACTAGCGCCAGCCCCCACCCGACTATGTCGCTGTATCCCTCGGCAAGTCGAGCATCTCATTTTGTCCAATTCATAGGGAAAGACCATGAAAACTAAGTGGGTACAATCACGGAGAAAAGAACTCCAGACCAAGCCGAGTACAACCGGGGTATAGCTGTCTTAGCAGCACTTAACTAATAGCTAATAATAATGGATATTGGTAAAACTAACAGGACACCGTACGACAGACAGCCCGGTTTGCACTTTGCCATGACTTCCATCTTACGTAGTATCCATTATGTAGTCTGCTACGGTACTGGCCAAAATCTCTTATCAATTGGATAAGGTCAAGGTTATCTAATAATCATGACTACTCCGTCAGGTAGTTAACTAACGAAGACTCAGACTGATTAGCTGATTATCAGGTTTTCGCAACCAATCACTCGGACTGCGTGGTTCGCTAGTCGATCATACCATATCGAGTAATGTGCGCATGGCGGCGGCTGCTTCAGCCGCTTAGGAAAAGTTCAAGTCAAGTTAGATCCAAAATCTAATCCCTCTTCGGTAGCTTGGTCTTACTCTCTAGAATGACTACACACTACATCGGAGTACACATTGGAGAGTGCAGAGAAAGAGGGCTGAGTTGAATGGACTTGAGTTAAAACCTACGGTGTGGAAAGCTAGATGAAGGGGTCTCTACACTACACAGTCGATATGTCGTAATTGTTAACTGATACCGATAAGTAACTGGATCCTCCCACCCCACAGAAATGATCGATCATCCAATGCCCACGTGCTTCATTGGCCATGTCATTGAATGAAGCAGAGGCGGCATGAATGGGGATGCGATGTGCAATGTACAATGTAAGTAAGGGTGACTTGTCAAACTCGGTGTACAGGAACTCTATGGCAAATGGACATGGGATTGGGGGGAAGGGCGGGATACCTATCAGAGAAGTCAAAGTCAAAGAAAAAAAAAAAAAAAAAAAAAACGCCTCAAGTCCAGTGACCTGATGTGCTTGGCCCGGCTAGACTGGAATGGTCCTAGTGAGATCAGTGCCCGGCGCCCTCCCGTCGATCTTGATTTTGTATCACGTTCCGCCCGCTGGATGCCTTTGACCAGGGGTGGATTGGAACGGGGTTCGATGCCCTGTTAGAGGGTTTCATTGAATCCCCATGATGATTCCCCAAAGCATACAGGATGAGAAATCACGACATCTCCCAACCCTCGGGCAAATCATGAGGTGGTCCGTGGTTCCACGGGGAATGTCATGTAGGAGGAATGGGGGATTAATTGAACGGTTGAACCCTCCGGATGCGGAAGGAACGGTCTCCTCCAGCCGGTTACGGCGATCTATTCCCAGATAGGTCTAGCGAGAATACAGAGTGCCGACTATCAAAAAAGCAAAAGCGAGAATCCTCGTGTCTGCGCGACAAGGTGCAGGTTGAGCTTTTTTTTTTCTTTCTTCCCGCAGGTATTCCGCAGGGCGGGACGAGATATCCAATACACAATGACGGTTTAGCAATAAGCACTATCTCAGTATTAACCATTAGGTAACGCGGGTGGCTTCGTTCATGTCGGATCCTGAGGCAAAAGAACTAGACCGTGTCCGGTTGGCGTAGGGGACTAACCCCAGTTAGGTAAGTATGCTTTACGGAGTACACCGTACAGAGTCCATCTCCAGGCAATCACCAATTCCTCCCCAAGGAGCCAATAAAGGGTCGAAAACACAAGAGAAGGTCTGGTACCGATGGGCGAATACAGTTAACAGGACCATGTCGTCCTAAGCCGGGTTAGCGCTGGTATCGCACTGGGGATGACGTAGAGAGGGCGAAGACCGACTTGGCACGTGGACGTCCTCTTTCACTTCCAGAAAGAGTAAATTTCTCGGCCCCCCAATTCGATTCTTTTCTTTTTCTTTTTGATTTTTTACTTTACCCGGACTTGCCTACCGGGTCGCCATGGATGCACCTAATCCTCAAACCACCGACCAAAACCGCAGGATCGAAACATACGTGCAGAAAGTAATCATAAATTGCGGTGGGCAATCGAAAGACGAGGGTCTGGTGGCGCCGCCGGCTTGTCTTCATCTTTTCCGGGCGATCGAAGACGAGGTACCCTGCCTTATACACACACAGTATACAGTAGACCACCAGGATTTCCTGGCCTCTCAGAGCATGGGAAGGCGGTTCGGAGTAATTGAGACCTTCCTTTCTAGGCTCCTCGCTATTTTGTTTAGAAAGAAAAGAAAACGAAAAAGTTCTTTTGACCACCGGTCATCCCAATGGGATGGTTATTCTCCGGGATACCGGGGTTGACGTAGCGATATGATAACATAGGACAGCCAAGTACCGTAGCTTGTCGACCTGATCAGTGAGGGATAGATCTAGGTCAAATTCAGACCCGGAGTCTTTCCTTCGAGGGTGCACATTATTGATAGATGTCCATGTCTACTTTACCTGAAGAGTAGATCTCTCTCGGGCTCGCCGTTGAGGGCATTCCTAGGTATCCAGGACAATCTCCACCCGGCCTCCCTGCCAATCAATTCCCGCCACTCTCGCGCTTTCGGCCGGTTTTGGGTCGCGATGGACTCGCCGGGGTAACACTCAGCAGTGGTAGAAATGGACTGAGCCCACTCAGTAGTCAATACTGTGTGTGTAAGACTGTACACCGTAAGAAGGACCTTCCAGAAAATTTCAGGTACTGAGGACGGAGTTGGTAGGTCATATCGGGGGTCCTAAGCGCTCCCCGCAGGTTCTTGCTTTGTGATCCCCCGCCGGTACTCATCACTTATCGATATCCGTATCAAGTCTTGATCTCTCCTCCACATCGAAAACTTCGTGACTCTCGAGTCCGGTTGGTTATTGGCCCAGCTCCAGAACTGATGCGCATGAGGGTTTTGATTCTTCCATTTTCACTTTCACTTTTCACTTTTCAGCGGGTCGCCACTTGCGACAACACTAAAGTGCACTAAGTTATCTTACAGAATACAGAATACCACACTTTACAGATCCAGGCGTAGACTCCCGTGACTTAGCCTTAGCTTAGTTAGGGAAAGAGCGATGGGAAATTAATTTAGTCTCACCCCCCATATGCATGCCCAGGGGGGAAAAAAAAAAAAAAAAAAAAAAAGGCCCTCTTGCAAATGCATGAATTGTAAACCGGGAATTACCTTCCAGATATTATATTTTCATAAAGAATTATTAACAAATAATAATACAGCATTATGATTTAATATGATCAAGCTACTCGTATTACGATGGTGGTCTTTTTTTTTTTTTTTTTTTCTCTTGCCCACCCGCAGCCTGAAGTCCAGTAGGGAGTCCGTGCTCCGTATATAGATGGTTTCTCGCCCTCCAACCTTGGTTTCCACACTGCCATCTTTCCCTCTTCCAGGCTTTTCTTTACCCATTTCTCTCCTCCTCTCCCTCTCCTCTTCTTTTCACATCTCTCCCTCTTCCTCGTCCACCATACCATCCGTTCATCCCCTCTTCCTACAATCAGGAATTCGAGGCCATCTAAGCTCCATTTCTCTGTCTACCAGTTCCGGTACAGGGCAAACAAACTTTTGTCCCCCCAAACACCTTTTCCAGGGCTCTTAAGTTTCCTGGTCCTTTTCTTTTCTTGTTATCCTGTCATCTCAGGTCAACCGAGCTTCCCAGAGCTTGGGCTCCCTTTTCTCCTTTCCTTTTGATCTATACATCAACTTTGCATTGTCTATTTGCACAAAATCTGTCCAGCAGGATCTCAGATCATCGTCATTCAAAATCAGTCGTACGGCACACAGCTCAGTAGCTGCATCAGCAAATCTACTTCGCTCAACACATTTCAACGACATACTATTCGACCAGAGCGACTGCATTCGCCTTCTTTGCCATCCTCCCCAGCGCCAACCGTTTACCAAATTCTCCCGGAATTAACAGCCATTGCGCCTGCCTTTCGAAATTCCAAGCACCGTTCGCGACCAATGACCCTTTGAGCGCCCCAGGACTCGAGGTTTTCGATTCGGACATAGCCGCTGCGACTTATACCGAAGAAAGTAGCAATTAGTCCTACCCAAGGCCCGCCATTGAACCCAGTGTTTTCCCTGATATCCCACCCGCAGCTGTATCAGTCCTGTACGACCTCGAAGAATTTCCCAGCACGCGCCAAATATTTCCCCCTAGCAGCAAAAGCGAACCGGCACCATGAAGTTGTCCAATCCTTTCCAGAGGGACCATCACAACTTTCCCAGCGTTGTGATCCCCCTCGCCAATGCCCCTTCGCGTTCCAGCCCGAGCCCGAGCCCGAGTTCGGTAGAAAAGAAATTTGGCCCAGATGAGAAAGCTAACGACAGGAGTTTCGACCATGTTTCCTCCGAAAAGGGCATTGGTCCCGTCCCTGAGTATACACATCTGACCCTTGAAGTTTTGCGTGCCGAAGTCGAATCCGACATCGCCGCTTCGGGTCACGACAGCGCCTATGACCGTATGTTCTAGTTGCCCATGGAAGAGCTTTGCCCCAGGTCTTTTCTTGAACGGAGCTTGTTCTCTTTATACTTCCCAAGAACCCTTTCCCACAGTCTGCCATTGGCAGACAGTTGCAAGTTGCGGATCTAATTGTTTTCATACAGGCAAAGCGAAAGTAATAAACAGAGCTGTTCAGGATATCGACATGGGCCGTTATCAATGGGAGTTGTTTGCTCTCTGTGGATGTGGCTGGCTTGCTGACAAGTACGTGAGGCCCCTCCTGGTGAAAGCCAAGAACACAGCACTAACGTGGATCATTTAGCCTTTGGTTGCAGGTAAGACATTTCTAGAATCGATATAGGGAGATCAGAAGAATATGCCATACTGACATATCTAGGGTGTTGCTCTAACTCTAACGCAATTATCCATGGAATTCGGCGTTTCGGATGACCGAGTGCGGTTTACCACCTGTGCGCTGTTCCTGGGTCTTTGTCTGGGTGCTTCTTTCTGGGGAATCGCATCTGATGTGATCGGACGTCGTCCCGCCTTCAACCTGACTCTTTTCATCACTGGTGTGTTCGGTCTGGCCGCCGGCGGTGGCCCGAACTGGATTGGGTACGTATTCCAATGGCCCTGAGACCTTTCTAATCCGTTATCCGATATATGCGGGATCCTAATATCAATTGAATAGAACCTGCGCTTTGTTCTCTTGCTTGGGACTGGGTGTCGGTGGAAATCTGCCCGTTGACGGTGCTCTTTTCCTGGAATTTTTGCCATTTGCATCTGGAAACCTCCTGACCATGCTGAGCGTCTGGTGGCCGGTGGGCAACCTCATCTCCAGCTTGCTCGCATGGGCGTATATCCCTAACTTCACTTGCGAATCCGGCCTTCCCGCCTGCAACCAGGTCAGTGCAGGCGAACAGTGCTGTCGCAAGGAGGACAACATGGGGTGGAGATACCTCGTCTTGACCCTGGGTGCCATCACCTTCGCCATGTTCATCTGCCGGTTCTTCTTCTTCCACTTATATGAGTCTCCCAAGTTTCTGCTGTCCCGTGGCCGTCAGGAGGAAGCCGTCGCAGCCGTTCATGGCATCGCCTACAAGAACAAGTCCAAAACTTGGCTCACCGTGGAAATTCTCAACGAGATCGGTGGATACCCAGAGGAAAGCGTTCAGCAGACACTCTCAAACAAGCAAATTGCCAAAAGATACCTCTCCAAGTTCTCGATGCAGCGTATTGCTCCTCTTTTTGCCACCAAGAAGCTTGGGATCACCAGTATGTTTACCCAATACTGCTCCTTTCTGCCGTTTTCGCTAATCGAGATGACTTCCAGCCATCCTGCTGTGGTTCTGCTGGGCCACTATTGGAATGGGGTACCCTCTTTTCAATGCCTTCCTTCCCCAATATATCAAAAGCGCCGGTGGTTCTACCGAACAATCGACCTACACCGTCTACCGGAACTACGCCATCACCTCCATTGTCGGTGTCCCCGGCTCCATTCTCGCCTGCTACACCGTTGATATTAAGTATGTTGGTCGGAAGGGCACTATGGTCATTTCCACCATGATCACCGGTGTTCTCCTCTTCTGCTTCACGGCTTCCACGAACCCCGACATCCAACTCGTCTGCTCGTCCCTGGAGGCCTTCTTCCAAAACATCATGTACGGCGTGCTGTACGCCTACACACCGGAAGTTTTCCCCGCCCCGAACCGCGGTACCGGTACCGGTATTGCCAGCTGCCTCAATCGGATTGCTGGATTGTGCGCCCCTTTGGTAGCCATCTACAGCGGTAGCGGGAACGTCAATGCGCCTATCTACGCCTCCGGGTCCCTGATGCTGGCTGCCTTTGTGGCTATGTGCTTGCTTCCCATCGAGACTCGCGGTAAGCAGACTTTGTAAGATCATGACAAACGGGGGAGGAAGCAAGAGACCATCTCTCTTGAATTTTTCCTCATCATTTTCTTTTCTTGTTAATTTTCTTTTTACGATTATGTTGGGCCAGCGATGAATTCTTGACTCGCCTGACACCATTCTTGTCATTATTTCTATTCTTTTTTTTTTTTTTTTACTTTGCATTGTACTCATGTTATGTTTATGTTTTGTTATCTGCATTTTCCCGCATCTACTCTATCGGTCCTTTCGGATAGAAAAGACTCGATTCGGAGGCTGTTGTCTATTACCTACCAACATCATGTTTTTCCCCTATGACTTCTTATGTGTATTGATAGATTGATGCATGCCTACGGACCTATGAGCTTGGAATTTCTAGCGGAAACAGAAGCACCTCACAAAATCTGTTGTTCTGTTCGTTGGTTGTATTTTGTGTTGCATGTCGATCGACTCATCTTCCCCCCGCCCTGGCATTTATGAAAAATCATATACCCCTTGTCTAGTCTTGTCTAGTTCACATGGATGTATCTATGTATGTGTGTACTAGATAAAGGAAACGGATTGGATTTGCATTAAGGATAGCATACAATGTCAAGCAATTTTTCTATTTCGAAAAGAGATCTCTTGGTTCCAGGAACATGTATGTATATGTGCAGGGCTGTTCACGGTTTGCCGGTTTACCGATTTTGACGATACTATTTGACGATAATCATCGGCAGACCTTGCCTTTGACGATAACGTAATCGGACACCGAACCGCCGTGACACCGAACCGCCGGTGGTCCGCCGCCTGCCTCACCGCTTCAAATCG